TAAAATCACGCTTTTAAATTTAATTTCAATACAACGGTAAATAGAGATTTGATCAAAATAAATAGAGAATTCAATTGAAAAGTGCATCTGCGAATKGGRCGATTTRTATKTYAGGCTATTSTATCACTTGATTGTATGATTAATATAGTTTTCTTTTTGTTACAGGTGATCATCGTTGGATTTAACAACCAAACCTTTGAGATTTTTTTAGTGTATGAACGTCATGAAATTTTTAAAAATATAAATATATGTATTTATAAACGCATTTCTGAAGGCACACACATTTTTATACACTAAATATTGAATATAATTATTTAAAATTTTATTACAATATAATTAAACTATATATACTATATCAAAGAATACTATATTCTTTGATCATCGCTTCAAGTAACTCTTTCATCACGCGGTAATACCTACTCTCACCCACTGTTGGTCCCGGTATTAACTAAGATGATTTTTGTTACGCGAAAAGTGGACTTATGAGCTTCCATGTACCTCTATAATCTTTGAAGGAAGAAAGTAAGTTTCTGTTTTACTAACTAGTCGATTGGTAGTAGTAGAGAACTGATCACATATATTGACTTACTCGCACATAACTATGGTTTTTATAATATATTTCTTACGAAGTAAAACTGTACATTAAAATTTTGTTTTTAAAAGGTATTCATCTACATTTAATCTTTGCTTTTGTTAAAGATTCGTAATTATAATTTTTAAATGAGAATGTTAAACACAAAATAGGTACACGCTTCATGCAAGCATAATTGGGATATATAGCATGCTACTATAGAGATGTGATTAATATTTTAAATCTCTGACTCAAACACTAACATTCATAATTTGTATCGTGGTAATACTCTCGCTAAGAATAATAATAGGTATCACATAACGTCATTCAAACGTATACACCCATCGATATATGAATGTCATGAGTAAATATGCATTATGCATTAGAACTCGATAAAAGAATGTTATTTATATATACTTTTTTTTTAGTATTAACTTGGGAATATTTTTTTATTTCGAGAATGCCTAGTTAATTACGTAACTCGCATATTTTTACCAAGTAGGAGCAAATTAGAATCGTGTCGTTGAATACTTATAACTTTTTCGGTTCAACAGGGCCAAGAAAAATTGTTTCGAAATGTACTCTAATATAGTATTAGATTGTCCCATAAGTTCCTTCCCTTTTTTTTTTATGCAAAATCAATAGACAATATTTATTGTTTAAGGTTGATTTACTGTGTTATATATGAACCGTTCTGCTCTATTACCTTCTTCCATCTCTCAGGAAGCCTCATTGTTTCCTCTTTCCAAAATTGTTGAGACTTACTTGCAAAATATTCATCGAGGTGCGTTTATATTTCGCTTTAAAATCAAAATTACTAGCTCTAAATTTCTTAAATCAATTGCGAACGGTTCTAATAATCGTAGTACCCCTCCTATAATCGGTGCAAATGTCGTCTGCAGTGTCCTTTGCACTACTACCTTTTTTAAAGCAATGAAGCATAACATGCCGCAAATGCTTCTTTTAACTATCCATATTAAACGGTGTAGAAAAAGATTTTAAAAGAGACTTTGTCACTAACGAAATGTACTTTGAAAGGGCTATAAGACGACTGAAATCGATGCCATAAATGGACAATAGATAAGCCTGCATGTCTACAAACATAGCTGGCTCGAAGTCATACATAGCGTGACACGGAAAGAACTTATGGGACAACCTAATAGATAATTGATATTCGTGATATCTTGTTATAACTTTTTAATAGAAAATTAATAGTTGTTCAAATAAAATAATTAACGGCAAATGGGAATAGAAAATGATGTGTCATTAAAAGATAGTAAAATGATATATATACATTGGTATCGTAATAATAATAATAATAATAATCACGTTTATATGTAATTCGTATTTCATTCTAGTAAAGGTGTTATTCAACTATTTTTTCTTCGAATTTAATCAATAAGACGCTTCATCTTTCGAAGCGTCATTTACGAGGAACATGGCCTCGCGACACGAAGCTGTTGGAACGTGAATGTCTTCACCAACGACAGCGTAAATGAATGGAATGCCAACCCACACCTAGGAGATGTTCGTTATACACTGGGTAGGCTGTTCGCCTCGGGGCGAGACTTCACGTACGATACGTCAAGTGGCAGAGCCGTATCAATCAAAGACGTCTTTATAGGTGGGCATTGATCGATCGAGAATGTCTTAAAGAATACGTTCATTCAAAACCGATGGTAACATGTATATACGCGATATTCATTAGAGAAAATGTATTTCCTTCTTACATAATACGTACCACATTGTGTGACTTTAATTATTGATCTTTTACCTTGTACACGCTATTCTACTATATTTCTAAAATACATATGAGAAAAAAATACTATGAGATATTATCGAAATAAAACACCTCTATACGTATTTTCTATCAATGTATTTATTGTAACGAATTTTCAAAGGATAAAGAAATAATAAGAAAGAAAGAAGAGTAACACAAAATTTGGAAAATCGATATTGGATATTCGAGTAGAATCTTTCTTTAAAAACAAGTTTTATTAAAGGACGGGGCCGTTCGATGGAGGAAATCTTCCCTGATGCTTTTAGTGCTGCGAATGGTATTGCTCTGCTAGCAGCACGTGCGTGTAAATGTGTGCGTGAGTTCGGTGTGTAGTTAAACGTAGCGTTCTTCCTCTCTCTCTCTCTCTCTCCCTTTCTCTCTCTCTTGTTATCCCTTTATACATTCGCAAGGAAAGAAGATGAAAAGGTGCGGTGCAGGGAAAAGAGGTGAACCTCACGCACGCGTAAGGGAATAGAAGATTGCGCTTAGGGTCTCTCCGGTTACGGCCCTTCTTACGGCCCCTCCGATTTCCCACGCGCCCCTCTCATCGATGCTCGGGTTCGGTCAGTAACGACCTCCACCCCCTCTACTTCACCCCACTCATCTACCTACGCCTTGTTAATGAAAACATCTTTTGTCAATGAACTGACGTCAGTCCGCTATCCGATTGGTCAGTATAGCAAAACCACGTGATTCCTGACCAATCCTCAAGCCCATTGCCTTCCCCTACTTGCCGACCGCCGAGTGTAATTTGCCCATTCTCGGCGGAAGGACGCTCGAGGTAAGGTGTGGCCTTCGACGACTTGTGATACAACAAAACGAGTTAAAACAAGAACGAAGACTTGAAGAAACTTATAGTGAGTAAGTTCCTCTCTCCTCTTGATCTCTTTCCATCCAAACGAAACGAAAAAGAAACGGAAGTCAAAAATAAGAAGAGAAGAGTGTCAAAAGGTAGAAAGAGACAGAGAGAGGTAGTGGGAGAAGGAGGGCAGAGAAGAAAAAGAGTGAACGAAGTGGAAGAGTTAAAAAGTGGGGGGGGTAGGAGAAAGGTGGAAATTTAATCGTACGCTAGCCGAGAAAGCAGTTACGAGTAGAAGACGAAACGACGCGAGCGATGCTGGAAGGATTCGTAAGGTGAAACGAAGAAGACGGGGACGATCTCGAATCGTCGAGATACGTTATCGATATCGAATGAGTCGTTGAGCGCGCTGCTGCCGTTGACACGGGTCCAGCGTACGCTACGCAGCATCCCCGTTGTTCTCTCTATCTCTCTCTTTTTGTTTCTCTCTCATTATGTTACTCGTGATCGTCACCGCCGTCATCGGCATCGTCATCGTTTCGTGTCGTAGTTTGTAGATCGTCGTTAATTGTTTCTTCGTTAATCGCTGTCTTTTTGGTGTTGTATCGGCATTCGTTCTATCGTCAGTATGATGGTCCATTCACGAAGTTATCATGTTTTACGTTGATAAACGGAGAGAGAGATAGAGTGAGCACAAAGAGGAAAAGAGAAGAAAAAGAAGAAGAGGAGGAGTAAAAGTAAGAGTAAGAGTAAGAGTAAGAGTAACAGTAAGAGTAAGAGTAAGAGTAAAGTATATAGGACGCTAACGAACGTATGTTCGAAGAAAGGTGAAAACCAAAGAATGGTTGAACGTATGCGTCGGAGGAAACAAAAGGATGAAACGTATTTTAAATGATCTGTGCGACAAGATAGGATTTGACCCTTTTAGAATAGTGAGAAAGAGGAGTTGGTTACTCGGCTGATTGGGAAATATCTTGCGCGAGAAAGTTATTATCTCGGAACATGCATTTTTTGAACAAGCGTAAACATTCCACAAGCGTGTCGTTAATTGGACATGTCTTAATTTGCAAAAGGATCAATAATCGCGACGACGAACCGACGGTAGAGGTGGAGAAGGTGGTGGAGGAGGAATACATACGACATTAATGTCGCAGGAAGTGATGGGTATGCATGAGAGATCACCGAACGATGCGATGTGAACGCGATGTTGTAACGTCGTCGTCGTCGTCGTCGTGGGCGCTAATGGAATGTCTTTGGGAAATACGTTCTACCATATAACTTAAAGTGCCATTTCATCATATCCAATTAATATTTAATAATAAATACACACATTATATGTGGTCATGTGCGTAACTTTGTTTTATCGTTTATATATGAATGAACACATGCAATAATTAAATAATTATCTAATATTTACATTCTTCGATTAGTGTCAAAGATAAATATATTAAATGATACATTCAAAACATATACAAACACATTGGTTATCATCTGCATATATTGGCAGTTATTTGTATATATAAAGAATATAATATAAGAATACATCTGCTTGTCTATTAGTTAAATATTGGCAATATCGTTGAAGAGTTTTTAATCCATACACACATTGTGCATGACAAACTGTGAAAGAAGAAAGAATTGAGAAAAATAAATGACCCTATATAAGGATTTGAAGAAGGCAAAAGAAGAAATGATAAAATGAATTTTAAATATGAATATTTATGGGAGTAAGGGAATTCATTTATAGCTGTAAATAAATCAAGTCAAAAAGTATGGCAGATAATCTCATAGGGCCAGATTGGCTCTTTAGAGAACTCAGATCACAAGATGGTACAAACAGGCTCCTTATTTTAGATTGTAGAGCTCATTCAGATTTTCTGGAAGCTCATATTAGAGGATCTGTCTCTTTGGCTATACCAAGTATAATGTTAAGACGATTGGCTGCAGGTAAAGTAGATTTGATATCAACGATAAGGTGTTTAGACCTAAGAAACAGAGTAGAAGTTTTTCTGCATGGAGATAAGAATAGCAGAGGAACATTTGTGTTGATTGGAGATTCTACAGATCCTGTAGGACACCAGGGTGAGACGATTCAAGTTTTAAATCGAAGACTTAGAAGCAATGGTGGAAGCGTTGCTATACTTGTTGGTTAGTCAAATCATTGCTTATACTCTTATTATTTTTGCTTTCAAGATCTTGGATTTCATATTTGTCCTCTCTTTCAGGTGGTTTCATAGCATTTAGAGATAAATATCCAGAATGGTGTGAATGTAGTCAAGCTAATTTGGAAGGGTCACCTGGTCAAGACTCTAATGATGGGGAGTTGATGGGTCTTAGATCGCTTAGGATATCGTGTCCACCAATAAGAGCATTTTCTGATTCAGATAGCGATAGTACATGCGATTCTGTTGGTATATATCATTCATTTCTTTTCAAATATAGAGAAAATATTGATTACAATATTTTGATTTTACTTGTATATATGCTTAGGACCTGAAGAAGATAAAGATTTTCCTGTTCAAATTTTACCTCATTTGTACCTTGGAAATGCAGCCAATAGTGAAGATGAAGAAGCTTTGGCACGACATCAAATACAATACATACTCAATGTAACGCCAGATTTACCAAATGTATTTGAAAGTGCTGGCTCTATAAAATACATGCAGATACCAATAAGTGATCATTGGAGTCAAAACTTAGCCAGTTTTTTTCCACAAGCAATTCAGTTTATAGGTAAATACACATTCCAATTCTATTATTCATTTTCGACTTATTGGAGGCTAAAGTTTTTCAAGATTATGAAATTTTTAGAGGAAGCACGGAGCTCAGACAAAGGAGTGCTGGTTCACTGTTTAGCTGGAGTATCACGGTCTGTTACAATTACTGTAGCTTATTTGATGCATAAATGCAGCCTCAGCCTAAATGATGCTTTCAATCTAGTACGTAGTAGAAAATCCAATGTTGCCCCAAATTTTCACTTTATGGAACAACTGCTTAGTTTTGAAAGAGAATTAAGAGATAGAGAAGATAGAAACAAAGGAAATGATCAAAGATGTATCGGGGCTTGCTTACCTGGTAGCACTTGTAATTGTCCTGCACCGAGCTTTTTAAATCCTGTTGATTTGGGTCTTAGTCCAGATTCAGGGATAGAATTTGATAGATGGGCAACTAGTACACCAGCTGAATGAGACAGGCCTGGAGGGACCCAATACAAATTTTAGGTCCCTCCTTGTAAATTATTTAACATGTTAACAAAGTCCTGATTGAAGGGTATAGGGGAACAAAATATAAGTTCTGCTGTGACAAAATAAAAATTATAATCTTCAGTACGTTTTTATAAACGGATAAGAAGTAGGAAAAAAGAAGAAGAAGAAAGAAATATGTGATTCTCTTTTTTCTTTTTCTTGCAAAGAATTTATATTTATCATCTAGCCGTTTTCCTTGATACCGTCTCTAACAATTTTAAAGGCTTCCTATTATATTTTTTGTTTTCCTTTAATGAGTATTGGGCATGTCAAATGTCTTTCATAATGATCAAATCTTATTCTTCATAAATTTGATTTAAAATTTTAAGATAGATCAGATTGCTGCAATTATGTAACAGTCATATTACGGGGAGAGAATAGATATGACTGTCTCTATACTATATATAAAATAAACTTAGAAAAACGTTTCCCCAGATTGTTATAAGCAGCATTGCATATTGAAAGTATTTTATAAATAAAATCTGTAGTTTTCTATCGCGTAATCGCATTTCATATAAATGTGACTACTTTCTGAAATTATGCTTCCGAGTCAGAAACGTAGTACATGTGATTTGTTCAAATTTGTATTATGTTGCCACTACATGGTGTTAGAATCATTTTCTATTGACAATTTATTTTTATAATTAAGATATATATTTTTCAATATTTTTCCCTAAATCCTTCAATGATGTGGCTGTGTTTATTTTATCATAGATAATGTTTTTAGCTATGAAATATTCTTTAATGAACAAATTGCAATAGATCAATCACAATCTGTAGTTAAAATAAACATCACTGTTTAATGTACTAAGTTGGAGGTACAAAATTGAAATTAATGGTCTTGTACTCAACTGTTAAGCTGTGTAAAGTAATATGATACTCAAATGTAATTTTTTATGTAGTTTTTCAATACACTGAAGTGACTTACCTTACAAAGGGTATTCTTAATGCGTTCTGGTTTGAAAGATGCAAAGGGATTTGTGCATATTTATCTAAAGTATATATGCCAGGGTCTTAAAGCAAGATGTTTAGGGATCATCTTATAGCGTTTCAGTTTATAATGGATACGAAAGATATAACAACAAAAATTATTTTTAAAATATTGCAAGTATCAGAACACAAAGAATACAATCGATATTATTAATTGTATCTGATATTGTTGATACAAAGTAGTGAAAGACAATGGTTCCTGAAAATCACGTTACTACAGAACGCAGAATAGTGTTGGTCATTCAAATTTTTTATGAAGATTTTCTAAGCAACCGTCTTGCTCTTGTGCATCAATATTAAGACCAGAATGCAGCTATTTATATGCTATAAGCAATCCGTATATTCAATTGGATTCTTAATTGTACGAAACGGTAATGTTTCCATTATCTTTCAGATCTCAAATATATATTAAAAGTTATTTTTATATATATAAAAAAATATAAAAAAAAAAAGAAATAAAAAAGTTACATTCACATTCCCATTACGAGCCAAAATGGCTTGGTACACTGTGTAACTATCTTTCGTACGTTATATGTACTGTTCATCAAGCGTAATAGAAATTAATGAATGTATACTGTGAATGTTATTTTTCATATAATTAACTGCAAAGATATAATAACTATTTCTTAACTATTGCAAGAGTAAATTGATATACAACTAAGAAAATATATATTTGACGTTAATGTAATAATAATATTCTACTATCACACTGTTGTCTGTTGTATGTTTAAAGGACAAATGTCCAAGAAAATTTAATCAAATATTACGTATATTACATAAATTATTTTATATTCATCGTTGTATATATTTTGACTAATTTCATTAGAAATACAACCTATCTTATCCGAGACAAATAAAGGACTGTCATTTTAGTAAATTAATTTTCCTTGTTTTAAATGACATATGATGTAGTTTTACGATATAATAAAACTAAATAGATCGTTCAAAAAATATCAATAAATCGTTATCGATTATTCATATTCATTGCATAAACGGTCAAATGAATGCTGTTTAATTAAGTAAATTAATATTTAATAAATAAATTAAACGTACTATCTCATTTAAAAATTTTCACATTTGTATAAATATAAGTATAATTGTATATTACGAGTTATTATTTATCATCAGTCTACTATGAATTGTCTGTATCACGTACAAATTTGATTAATATGATACATTTTTTGTAACCGTATATATCAGTTTATAAATACTATCAATTATTATTTGAACATCTTTATGAGACTATATTTAATTCATTTATAATAAAACATATATATATATACATATATTAGAAAATGATATGTAAACAGATCTATTTTATTTAATAGAAAAGATCACATATTTTATGTATAATGTTGTTTCTTATTTGTAGTATCCAATTTATAAATAATTTAAAGAACAATTTAACAATAATTAATTGTATTATTTTGAAACAAGAAATATATATATGCTGAAAATCATAAGTTATAAAACTATTTGTTCTTTCTTTTTTCAGTATGTATATAAATTATTGAACAATCTTGCAAGTAATTACCTGTATGGAGGAAATTATAAGTCAAACATTTAAGTAATCAAATCTATAATTTGTTTTGAACAGTTAGCTACTTTCTTTTGAATATTAACATCATGTGCATTTTCAGACATAGTTTTTAGTACGTCGAGTATTTTTTCTGATTGACGCACAGCTTTAATTAATTCATTACGCTCATCTGGATTCAGTGTAGCAGCCAACAGAGTTCCTAGTCCAACAAGGGCTCTAAATACAGCTTCAGGTTCATTAAAACGAGGAAGTACCATAAACATTGTATTTAAAATTCTTATCTTACCAGATGTATCATTACATTTATTAAGTGCAACTATCAAATTCAACATATAAGTTGATATTGCGATCTGGAATAAATAGAAATCATTTTTATTTGCATTCTTTTATATATATTTTTAATTACAAATATTATAATATTTTGTTTTCATACCTGATTCTGTTTATTTCCAAGAGAATTTAAATTACATACTGCTTTTAATATATCATCTTTGTAGGAGAGACAAAAATTTTCTCCTTTTTCATGATGGAACAAATTTGCTAGTAATCTAAATGTAAGCATTTGATTTGAAGCTATTGCTCCAGGTTTAATATGTTTGTCTATTATTTTTAATATATCTGGTGTACTTATTTGCTCATTTATATCTTTATGGAGTACTGCAAGACGTGCTATATCAAGAGCTGGAAATACAAGGTTCTCAGGCCACTTTAAAATTTGATTTAATATATCAACAGCATCAGCTATAATATGTTTTTCATGTATCTTATTTTCCATCAAGCGTTTTATTATTTCTAATTTTGCTTCGGATATCTTAGAAGTACATTCTTGTTTTGCGTTTAATTCACTCAATTTATCTAAAAAAAAAAAAAAAAGAAATATTTTATATATATGTATTTTATCATTCAAATGATAAATTGTGTATAAATAATATATCTTTTTATATACTAAATAAGGAGAACTTGGCTTACCGATTATAGCAAGTAAATTGGCTTGTTCTAATTTTAAATATTTCATATGTGGTATATAAGAAGGACATGCAGAGGAAAGACTTGAATAACTCTGATTACTTCTGGAGGAAGATTCTGATGGACTATCAGTTATGTTAGATCCAGGAATATATCTGTTTCCTCCCGTAAATGGATCTATATATTGAACACTATCATTTAAGATAGGAATTTGTTGAGAATTTTTAATTATGAAATTTGCAACCTAAATATATATAAACATAAACGATTATAATAATAATTAAAAAATTAGGGGGTATCGAATGTATATTTATTTAATAGTTGAAATCTTTAGTAATTTATACCTGATCCAGGAACAATTGACTAAGATCGTTATCATGAAGGAATTTTTGTGCGACAACCCAAGGATCCTGACCATTATTATATGGCAGTTTTAAAGGTGGAACACCATCTTGTATATCTACTGAGAAAACATAATCGTATTCTATTCCATTGTAGAGTTGTTTTCCAGATGTAGCAGTACTACCACCAGATGCTCCCACCACATTTCCAATTAATATCCATCTTTGTTCATTTTGTGACCAACTATATGCTACGACATTATTCCCATTAGATATCATTTTGGTTTGTCCTTCTTTTTGACCAGGTTGCTCTAATGCCTTAGCGTCGGGTAAACTATAACAAACGAAATATTATTATTTTTTACTTAAAATTGCAAAATATTCGTCTATACTTACTCCTTTATTTTTAAACCTCCTAATTCTTGCTCACTATTAATTGTTGTTTTAGCAACTTCTTCTTCAAATTGTTGTAATGTTTTAATTGAAGCATATCTTTCCGGAATTGGCGAAAATATTCTAACAATACTATCGGAACTACCAGAAACTATATCACCATTTGGTAATAAATCTATACACCATACTGATTGTGTAGGTAAAGTAATAATCTGATCTATTTCACCATTTAACCATACTCTGATAGTACGATCTTCGCCAGAAGTAAAAACATAAGAGCCATTTGTTAAAGCTGTTATACTATAAATATAGTTTTCATGCCCACTATAATTTCCTAAACAGGTTCCAGAAGTACTATTCCAATGTCGTACTGTACTATCATTAGAACATGATAAGAATTCACTGTCTTTTATAGGTATAATACCACGAACACAATCACTATGACCAGATAATTTAAATTTAATAGAACCATCCTTTTGCCATACTATAATCAATTTATCAGCAGACCCAGTTACTATGTTACCGTCCATTAAGTCTGTAACACACCACACTGCTGCGGTATGGCCTGTTAAAGTTATCAAAGGATTTGTTAAATCCTTAGTACTCCATAATTTGGCCGTCATATCCCAAGAACTCGAAAGAAAGGTATTTTCTACTTTTCCAGTTCTTAAATTAGATACTGTATTCTGATGTGCTTTTATAATATGGAATGGTTCTATCTGATCTTGTTCATAGACACATATAGTGTTGTCATTGCTTCCAGTTATAATTAAACCTTTAGGATTTTGCTCGGATGGATTTATGACGCAGACAGAACTGACAAAATTAGTGTGTCCCTTTAATACTGCTGTCTCAATATAATCCTTTCCATTCCTGTAATTATTTTTAATGCATATATTCTGTTTCTTTTTTTATATAGATATATATATATATATCTTTTTATATAATTTTTATCGTATAATAAATAATATATTAAATTTGAAATAAAATGAAAAAAAAATAGAGGTTAAATACCCGCTTGGTTTCCATACGCGAGCAGTTTTGTCTCGGGACGTAGAAACTATGGATCCATCTGCGAAAGTTGCTATTGCTCTCACATCCGATGTATGCCCAAAAAGTACACTACTTAATTTATATGATGTTTTAGCCATGGTAACAACACATAAGAAAAATCACAGATCATCCGATTCACGAACGAGTATATGCATATATACATAAACGAGTTCTATCCTACAAACATCGAATAGTTAGAATCTTTACTCATGCGTGCTTATTACACTACTGTATTATTTCTATAATTATTTGTAATCAAATTGTTAATTTAACGTGTAAGCACGTAATCGAGTTTTAAAAATAATTATATTAATATTAATCAAAATAAAAATCTTACCTAAAGGAAAGAGAGAAAAAGAAAGAAACAATTATTCGAGACTTATCTAAAAGCATAAATGACAAAAGTGTATAATTTGATCGAACAACCAATCATAAGCATTTCTTTTTTACTTGTTTCTAAAAACTAACGTATTGACTATATATATACGATTTAATATTAACAAAAATTTAAAATAGTTAAACAATTGTGTTATTTTAAATTATTTTGTATTAATAAAATTATATTAATTATTGATAGATTTGAAAAGTATTAGAATATATCGATTAACGTATCGATTAACGATATCGTTAATCGATATATTTTATGGACAAATCGGCGGGAAATTTTGATTGGATAATACGAAGATCAAAGGTGAAAAATGTCAAGCGATATAATAAAGTATAGATACAGAAAGACAAATGTCAAAATGGCTGAGATGCATTGTTTTCCGTATATAGAATTCTATGAAATGTGTGTTGTTAAGTTGAATTATTTGATCGATTAATAATCATGAAAGTAGCGCCACATGCAGTATGCGTCAAACTAGCTGGGTAACCCTTTTACCAGTGACTAGCAGTGACCTTACAGTTAAATGTTGCGCATTGTTTAAGTTCATTTGAGTTTATGCGCGGAAGTATGTGTTGCATTAGGCTAAAGTAAACTGTTAACTATTTCTTTAACATCATGGACGACAAACAGAATAGTCGCAAAGTGTTAACTATTCTTTTTCTGTGTCTGCTATGGTACATAGTATCTAGCAGCAGCAATGTCGTCGGCAAGATGGTACTTTCCGATTTTCCATATCCACTCACGGTGACAATGGTACAGTTAACCTCAATCACAGTTTACTCCGGTCCATTTTTCAATTTATGGGGTGTACGCAAGTCTCCTTCCAATATTCCTTGGAGTTATTACTTGCGTTTAATCGTGCCTTTAGCACTTGGCAAATTTCTTGCCAATGTGTTCAGCCACGTCAGCATTTGGAAAGTACCCGTGTCATATGCCCACACTGGTATGTAATAATCTTGACACGTGCTTATTTTATGGCGCGTACTTTAAAAATACATTCTTTTGTTGTAAACATTTATAAATGATTATATTTATCTTTCTATACATTGTTGATTAAGTATATGATTTTCCTTTTCTCAAACATATTGAAACTTTCTCAATTCGTTTCTTAATTTTTATTGAACAATTTTATAATATATTGTTTTATTAGAATTAATATTTTCTTCTGAGTATATTAATAGAATTTTATTAAATTCTATTTATAAGCTTGTATATTTTTATTAGTACTACACATTAATAAAAATTTGGCTCTTTCCCAGTGAAGGCTACAATGCCACTCTTCACAGTGATTTTGTCAAGAATAATTTTACGAGAAAAACAAACTTGGAAAGTTTATCTTAGTCTTGTACCTATTGTCGGAGGTGTGGCCATTGCAACATTAACAGAACTTAGTTTCAACATGATTGGTCTAATAAGTGCTTTAGCATCTACAATGGCATTTTCGTTACAGAATATATACTCTAAAAAGGTGCATATAATTTGATGATACATTATATTTTTATTCAACGAAATATAATGTTCAAATGAAAACAAATACTTTTCTTCTTTAGGTGCTGCATGACACAGGAGTTCATCATTTAAGACTTCTACTTATACTAGGACGTTTAGCTTTGTTCATGTTTTTACCAATTTGGATATTTCACGACTTGATAAATCTATTACATGATCCCGTTACAAAAACAGCAGTAAATATCTCATATAACATACTAGGATTATTATTTCTAGATGGCATACTTAATTGGTTACAAAATATTATAGCTTTCTCCGTGCTTTCAATAGTAACACCATTGACCTATGCAGTTGCAAGTGCTAGCAAACGTATATTTGTTATCGGAGTAACATTATTTGTATTAGGTAATCCAGTGACATGGATAAATGTGCTTGGTATGGCTATGGCCATTTTAGGAGTATTGTATTATAATAAAGCCAAATATGATCAACGTCAAGAAAAAGACAAAGACAGTAGTGTACTTCCGAAATATTATAATGTAAATCGCAATGGTAATAGTAATTCTTCTATACCTAATGGATGGGGTAGTAAGAGAAATCAATTATTTGCAGTTTAGTATTTGATTTTTTTAAAATATGAATTATATATCTCTTAAAGAATATTCATTTTCTTATGACAATGAGAGTAGATTGAATCTGTTTAACAAATTAAAAACTCATTTTACAAAAGATTACTCAAGATAACATACAACTTCTGCATTCAGTAAAATGATCCCATCGATAAAATAGGATGATAAAGAATGTTTATATATATATATATATATATTTCAATTATTTGTCTTGCACAAAAAGAGCTGTAAAGGTTTATAGCGTCGAGGAGCAAAATATAAGCAAGCTAGTTCTTAGCTGTTTTATACGTTCGTATTGGAAAAAACAGTATTATATTGTTAACAACTTCTCAAGTATCTTTGAATTCATGACGCGTTTATTAATTTTTACGAGTTAGCATTATCAGTAGCTATGATTGTTCTGCGTTTCGTTTAACTGTTTTTAGATCTTCATTTTTAAAATTAATTTTGAGTAGTATTATGTAGGACTTATATAGATGGTTCTAAAATAATGTATTTTTTAATTGTAAACAATTTAACTGCATCTTTTTTAAAAGTCGAACCTGCTGGTAAGGTAGGATTATATAATCTCCAATGCGCATGGATCTTTTTAAAACAGCTGATTGCTGGTACAATTAGCAACGATTAGTTAAATATTAAAACTTAATTATACAATTAATAAATTGACATTTGCGATAATAATGAGTTGTTAAATCTAATTTAAGGCTAATAAGAGTATTGGCCATAGACGAGTTTCCTAGCTTGTAATGCATTCATTACGAGCGTGTAATTTTTAATAAGTAATGCATGATTTTGCGTTTCTTAAAATATTATCCTGTTACAATGTAACATTGACTATTTGTAGATATGCGTAATGGTTATAAATGTACAGGTACATTAATTTGAATATTAGATTAATTTAAACGAATGTATCTCTTAATTTTTGCACTTCTATGAATATGTATTCGTTTACATACTTCCAACAAAGACATTGTACAGTTGGTGTGTTATGAATCAGCGCGAAGTATGTATGAGTGAGAAAAAATTGTATGCAGGAAAAGATGTTCTAGTTAAAAGCAATCTATAGTAAATTTATTTTTATAAATAAACACATGCGTACAAAAATATACCAGAGATATTAGTATCGCAGCAGCATCATTCATATTAAATAAACTACTTTGTCATTACGCCCTACAAAGTTTTTACGATGTCCTGAGGTGATAGTGGCCTAGCCACAGTTAAATCTAAACGTGGTCCAGCAGCGGCGATTAATGGTACGGCCAAACAACAATCGCATTCTTCTGTATTTGCTTCGTTTACACGTAGAATTCTGTCGTATGGTCGCAAAACTCCGTCGCAAGGTCCACCGGGTCTCAAACGATTTATATATACGCCACGTTCGTAAAGTCCATCGGAAACTGAAAATCCGAAGTCTTCATAAACTGGATCCTTGTGCAGTGATACGTGTATTATTTGTTGAGGTCTATTGTCTGATACCCCGTGTTCTTGAGAGCTAAAATTTATTATATTGTTTAACTTATCTCAATATTTATATGTCAAATATTTTACATAGACATTAACAAAATATCTGTATTATTTTTTCTTTTCGTTAATAATAATACAATAATTTTTCGATGCATTTTAATACTTTTGATAAGGTGGTGTCGGAGGATCTAATTGTCCACTGTCCACAGAAACCGCATCCCACAATCTCAATATTTCCGGGCCTGCTCCGCTACTTTCTCCTAATTCTCCCCAAGAATCCACCGCGCTATCGACACTTGGCAAACTTTCTCTGGCAGAACGTAAAATAGTTGGAGGATACTGAGTAGGTACTGTATCACTTCCTATACTTGATTCCTTGCAATAATCTCTATAGAATGTGAAATTCGAATAATGTTTCTGATCATTTTACAATAATTATGTATATATGATTTACCTTGTTTCCGAAAGTGGATCTGATTTTCTTACAGTCAAAGCAACAACAGAACTTCCTGGTCGGTGAAGTAATTGCGCTGCTTGTCTTAAATCACCGGCATCTAATTTTTGATTGTCAATAGCTAATATACGATCTCCTGATGCTAAACTACCTGTTCTATATGCGAGAGAACCTTTGCGGACTTCGGTAATTACTAAATCTTCGTTTACAGTAAGTCCTAAATCAGGATGCCCACCAAGAGGTCTTGCAACTCTTACAGTAAAAACACCAGAATTAGGTACAACTGGACCACCCACCTTGTATTCCGTAACAAGTTCAATCTGTTGAAAAACATTCGATTATATATAAAATTGAAAATTACATGTGCTCGATACAAATTTCGAACATTTGTAAATTCGAATATTGAGATCCATTACCATTTGTGAATTTTCTAAAATATCAGCCACATCTGTAGGTTTTAAGTCGCGTAATATAGTACGATTAATAGCGATTGCTCGATCACCGGGTAAAAGAACACCGCTTTGTTCGGCGGGACCACCAGCTTCCAAGAAGTTTATCACATAATTCATACGATCTTCCGTTTGTTTCAAAGCGAGACCAAAACCCCTATGATCGGGTCGAAGTATTACCGTCAAACTTTCCTTCGTTTGCAAGGTTTGGTTCGAGCTTTGTTGCACCTGAGGTTGGGCTCTTCTTTTAACCGTTCTCCCTGATGTACTTTGTAGTCTTGGTAGAATCTGTAATTTTGCTATACGACAATTCTCCGAAGTATTTCTCAATAATTTAGCTGCCGTGACAGCATCCTGTACCGGTGTATCGTCTACCGCTAAAAGTTTGTCTCCTGGTTGTAACGCGCCACAACGATCTGCTGTACTTGCTGGTCGAAGACTCTCGATGTAAACTCCGTTAGATATTTCCCTTACGGTTAAACCTAATTCTCCTGTAATCGTAACGTTAAATATTGTATAGACAAAATAATACGTCTATACGAGATTTCAGGTAGTAAGGAAGTTACATTTGAATAGATCGAAAGTCCGTACCTGAGAGTCCACGTTCGAGCTGAACCAAGAGTGGACCAGACGTTGCTGCTCGTGCTTCGTCCATGTTGGCGACATCGTATTCGATGGTTAAAGAAGCTACAGGTGAATCTGAACTTCTTCTAAGTGCTCTTTGAGCTTCGGCTAAAGATAAACCGCTCAATTCGGTATCATCTACCGCAAGTAATCTGTCACCAGGTCTAACTCTTCCTTCTTTTGCAGTTGGACCATCCGCTTTCATTCCCGTGACAACGAGAGCTCTGGAAACTCCACCGCGTAGAGTGACACCAAGGCTCCCACCCTCGCGTTCTACTCTAACTTGTGCGACTTTAGATGATACACTTGACGGTGACGATATATTCCCGTCTTGTTCGTCGAGAAGCAAAAAACTTGGGGGATGGAAAAGAAGTGGGGGCACTTCCTCTGCCCTACCGGAATCCGAACTTGCCGACGTGGCTACGCTACCAGGTCTGGCTCGACTTTTGTGCGACCTCATCGTCGCCAATCTTAAGGAACTGAACATCCTCTATGTTGTCTTATACTTTTGTCAAACTTTAACAGATCTTATCGATTCATGCACGAGCTTATACAGCAAATTCAAATGATTATTCGCGTTACACGGCATCAAACGACAAATTTTATAATAAAAATTTATGCGATCAGACTATCAAGACGTTCATTATATGAAAGATAGATTCCAATATCGCTTTCCACTTTCTAAATTACGATATCAAAAGAAATTAACGAATAAACACTAGCGTCACATGTATATGCCGATAACTTTTTCATTTATCTTCGTAAACGTTGTTCTCTCGATATCTTCCTTAGACGTTTGATTGTTTTCATCTACGAAATGGCGTCGTTTTTATCGAAAATATATCTTGCTGGACAAGAACACAAAACGAATTTTTCCGATAACATTATACGTAATATCTTCAAGCAAACACATTTTGATTTATTCACGTACGGTAAGAATAAAACTCCTACCGCAAAAACACTTTGAACGAAAACGAAAACGAAAAGGGAAAGATAAGAAAAGAAAAAAATAGAATAGGAGGGTTTGATTGTTTGAAGATACTCTTGGAAGAGATTCACTTAGCGGGAAAAATTTGAAAACAATAATACATCCGTCCGTCTCGTTTCGCGAGGTAAATGATCTCTCTCTCTCTCTCTCTATCTCTATCTCTCGCTCGCTCTCTCTCGTTTCTTTATTTCTCTCTCTTTTTCTCTTTTTCAGTGAATTATTTGTTAAGAACTACAGTGCTCCTTCCGAACGAAACTCGTTAGAACCAAGAAGAGGACTGTAACGACTCGCGATGGATCTCGAAAATAGCTCTCCTCGATGTAGGGCCGCAATCGCGGGAGTAAACGCTAAATTCTATTTATAACGCAGCAACGAGATCGCCTTCGGTAGTATCTTTGAACATTCGAATTGATGCAACGAACTGCGGCCCTGTGTATTTGCCTGGACGTACTACGTTTCTTCGACCGTCGAACGAGATTGTACTTATGGCTGCACCTACACGTTTTAATGCTTTTAAGTATCTTAAGACCAGATATGGTTGATTCGCATGTTAAATGTATTTGCTCATCCTAGCTTTTAATATTTCTATTTGTGGTTATCGACTCTCTTGCTTTACCTTCCATTCTCTTTACTTTCAAACTCTCTTCATGCTGGAGCTCTTGATTATCTTCTCTTCTTTCTATACATACTATCCAACTAGTTTTACACTCTTCTTGTCTTGTCATTTATTTGTTTTTTTCTTTTTTTTTTATATATATAAAGTCGTTAAACATATAATACATTATTTCTTTTTATAGAATCTTCTTGAAGCACATAATTTATTACAAATTGTCAACAACAATAATATTATAAATATAATTGTCGCTTTTATTTATTTCTTATTTATTCATTCGTGAAAATTCGACGACAGTACTACTATCACGGTAGCACGAAACAACGCGCAGGTGTTACGAATTGCATTAGGACGAAAGAATCGTTCTAAAATTATCTTCGAGACTTTTATATCTGCGTAACGCGATGCGCATTGTTTTCATTTTATTTCTTTTTTACTTTCGATCTCGCGCGAATCGAAACGCTTTTCTCAACATTTAAAATTTGTTTATATATAAATATAAATAGATATATACTATATATATATATATATATATATGTATGTATGTCTGATCACAAGATACGTTTTACTACATATTTTCTTAATAGATAGAATATTTCAGAAATATTTTAAAACGTTCATTTTAATTCTTTCTTCGCGTCTGACAAATGTTTCCAGATGACACTTTTTTTTCCCCTATGTTTTTTTCATGATTTAGAAAGAAAGTAAAAGAAAGTAAATGAAAGAAAGAGGAAGCGAGTAAAATATAGAGATAAAGAAGAAAAAGAGAGAAAAGGAAGAAGAAACAGAGTCTGTCGGTTCGGAAGCTTATGCCAATTTGCCAATTCCTTGGCGGTCTAAAATTAGCGCGTAGTTTGCGAGAAGCTAAATGTACGAGCGGAAGACTGAAGAGGGAAAAGGATAAGTTGTCGGCCAAACGAAGAGAGTATGAAAGAAAAGTGTGAGTGGGAGATGAATCTATAGGAGAAAACATCATCAACTTGATGTATTGCAAAGAAAGTGAAAACAAAGCTTTTAGATGAGATCAAATTATAGAAATAATAAATACATGTAAATTTCGGAAGTAAGTAATAACAACAAATATTTTCGTGAATAAAGACAAAAATGATAGCAAACAAGTTTAAAGACTCGAGACTCTGTCTAATAAGGTACTCCGATATTAATAACTTGGCTACGGTAAAGTGAAGCCAAGCGTTATAATAATCGTATGACAGTTGGATAATTATGCATCTCCGGAAACTCGACGACAACGAACGAATATTGAAATCATTCGAGTTTCTTGTACTTTCTTCTTAACATGTTTATATATTGTTATAGCAATATATGCGTTTGTAAGTTAATTTCAATACTTTTTAGGATTATTAAACGAAACAAACTTATTACGGAATACAGATAAAACTCATTATATCAGTGTAAAAAAGGAACAAAAATCGTATATTCCTTTGCTAATGACTATGCTAATATATCATATTGTGACTAAAGTCGATAAACGATCCATCGTATAATGTGTCCGACGTTACTTACGTTTAAAAAAAGATGAAGATCAAATTTCTAATCCCGACATATATTATACTAACATATGTATCATCTCGCGTTCGTCTAATTGTAAGAACATTTAATAAAAGAATTTCACGATAGAAGAAACGATTCTCGTGGGTGTTATAACGCAAAGAAAATCTTCTGGACAATTTTACACCCGTCTAAACGCGATCGTTCTTTAATTTTATGATTTCTTTCGAAAAGAAATTTCCTAACGTCCAACCTTGCTCTTTAATAAATAATCGAGAAGACTGGAATAACGTTGAATGCGAAGAATATAAAATCTCTAACAAATTCTTTCGTATATCAGTCAGTTGCGTTTGGATTTGTATATGAAAATCCACGAAAAACACCTTGATCCATCGAAGATAAAATTTGTTCGGGTATAGGCGTGAGTCGTGGTCTTTCAGCTGTGAACGCCGTGTCGAAATATTTGGTATCCAAGGTATGTTCTAAAGCTGGTTTGAACGGAGGTTCAAGTTGTCTCCTTTCCAGCCGGTCCCAAGGCAAAGACTACGCAATAAGATTTATATAAAAATTAATCTATGCTAATTTGTGTTTTCATTGAATTTCAAGAATAACAAGTTCTATGATTTCCAACGCAAGGATTCATTTAATCATTGGGTAACTACCTGGAAGAAAGGATGTACTGCAATTTCGTGAGCGGGCGGCCTCTTTCCAGAATCTTTTTCTAGCAACAAGACTAGAATATCCGTTGCTTCTTGACTTAGATATCGAGGTATGAAAGGTCTCTCATTACAAATACTCCAAAACAATTCGTCCTCGTCGCAACCGGAAAACGGTGATTGTCCCGTTAACATTTCATATAACAATACTCCGTACGACCACCAATCCACAGCTTGATTATACTTCAATCCTTTTATAATCTATAATAAATATATATATATTATTTATAGTTAACTAATTGGAACGAAATGTATTTTCAAATGTCAGAGATAACGCAACCTACCTCAGGTGCCATATAATCTGGTGTCCCACAGAAGGTGTCGGCGGTTCTGTCCAGGAATATTTGTAATTTGCACATACCGAAATCGGCTATCCTAATGTGTCCTTCAAAGTCTAAGAGAACGTTATCGAGTTTAAGATCTCGATAAACGATACCCTTCTTATGTAAAAAATTCAAGCCGGACCAAATTTCAGCGGCATAGAAACGTGCACGAATTTCGGGAAATCGGCCAGATTTTTGTATATGAAACATTAAATCACCTCCGTTGAGATATTCCATGACGAAAAATAGATGCGAATCCGTTTGGAAAGTACAGAAGAGGTGGCAAAGATATGGATGCCTGGTAGCCAATGTAAGAACTTTACGTTCGATCAACGTACACTCGACGTCATCATCTTCGAGAACGACATCCTTTTTCAGGCATTTAACAGCATAAACGCATTCCGTGCCACGTAATTCTGATAGTAATACTTTACCAAAGCTTCCTTTACCCAAGACCTAGAAAATAATAAAGGATTAACATTATTGGTAAAAGGAACGATTAAACGAATTCAAATAGTTGACATTTGAATGCAGACGCGATGACCGCGGTTGTCCTTTAGATTCCACACACACACATACACCTTAAATTTGAAGCTCGTAGAACCTACACGAATATTAAAGTTATAAATAATACGTTACGGTATGCTAAATTGGTGAGATCTATTTGCGGCTTTAGTACAAAACCAACGGTGCTTTGAGAATAAAGACGATGAAACTTAGGAGATTGATGTAAATCTTATCTATCTTGAATGCTAAACAAACGGTGAAGTCTCTGGCATTTGCGGTAATTCTTCCAACATAAACCCAAAGAGAAAACTCTGATGATTGTTCGCACTTAATACTCTGGATTATTTTCTAACGATTCTTTGTGAATCAACCGATTTCTTCGGTGTAAACACACGTGATTCAAATTAGTCTTCGCGTGGAAGTTTAACAGACAGTGCCAAGGAACGCGTCTCGCGCGTATCGACCCTCATATTTTCACGACCGTGTCTGTTTGTTAAACTTATATGAATTATAGATCGTTTTCATCGATACTCGTGGTGGAACTATATTTGAGATCTAAAGTAATTGTAACATTTGTACGTTTGATATATTTTATAACAAATAGAAATTATTTCTATTTACTTCAAATCAAAATTTATCTATACGTGTATAAATTTTCTATTAATATAATAATCTAATTATGGGTATTGTATTGAATTAAAATTAAAAGAGAAAATAAGTAATTCTATTAAACACAGTTGAGATAATATTCTAGTTCGGGTCACTCTACGAGCCAATAATTCTTGCACATTTCTCTAAAGAAACATTTCTAGCAACCTTGGCAAAGAATGACGTATTGAATTTAATTCTCCCACATGCTGAGGTAAATCTTTCTCTTTAGTCTGGTATCGCGTAAAGTATATCAGAGGTTGTTCACGATGCCTCGTGTGCTGTCAGGCACAGACAGCGGACAGATGTAACGTTCGAATAACAGTATAACGTTGTATTTTGCAATCGAGCCACGAATCGTAGCGCACTTCGACTTAATTCGTTCTATTTACGACAGGGGTAATGAGCGATCCTCATCTTTCTTCCAAGACTTACTTTGAGAAAGTTAAAATCCGTCACGGCGTACTTTTTGAATCTTGGCAGATTTATTGCCGGTGGTGTAATACGACCACTTGGAAAATGATCCGACGTATCCGTGTTCCTTTGGTTTTCCAACGATTGCGACGGAGCTGAAAACGAGACGCTAATGAGCGATTTGTAATGCGATAATTGAATTTCATTTCAATTTTAATTCGAGAACGTTAAGAAAAATGTTGATTAAATTGAAAAATATAATTTGTGGTCAATAAGTTAGTCGGTTAATAGCTTACACAGCTTTCCCCCATTTCCATCGGGTCAAGAATCGTTCTCAATCATTATATTAGGGTTGGTTATCAACAAGTATTATGCAAACGAAAGGAAGCCACCCTTTCCACAAGAATTCATTTTAAACGGTTCGTCATTTCCTCTAGTATAACAACAATACAAGAATAATATTCTTGCAAGTGTCTACGAGAAAACGAATAATATATAACCAAGTGTTACGTGCCCTTTCAAATCTATACTCACCCTTTTTAAGAGCTTGCAAAGCTTCGGCAACGAGTTTTTGATTCAATCCGCAAAGATTCCCTGTGAGTTTTTCACACTTTTTATGACAGGCCATATCGCAATCTGCACGAATTTATAAGTATAAGCGTATAACGTGAAACGTCATTGACAACAACATTTATATATCATCTAATTTGATATTATAAAAACGGAATAACATTGTCTTTCTCGATGCACCTTTAAACCGATTAACTGGTAAGAAATATGTGACTGAGGAGCGCGTTCTCCAAAAATCAAATTCAAATGATACACGTATTTTCGTAATAAATGAAATGTTTTAGCGAAACATGCTTAGTCATTTAAAATAGGATACGGAATAAAGGATAAGCAACAACAATAACACGTAAGGGTAGAAAATTCAAACGAGGTATATCAAAATAAGTAGTAGAGATTGATATTAGGATAAATACTGGAAATTCTTGGCGAACCGTCGAATCCAGAGTCGTTGCTTCTGGTCGAAGCCATCCTCTTGTGTTCCGGATCGTCATCCAATTCGGTGCAGGTTGATGCACTGCTACCATCGGTGCTACCGGTAGTAGCAGTACTGGCTGTACTTCCGGTACTGTCGCTACTCACAGATGGTGTTCGCGACTGATGTCTCCTTCTTTTGATCTTAGCACGTTTTACTTTTGAAAGATCTCTTGGCGTGGCCGTGAGTAAAGCAGATGGTGTAGTATAAAACATTCTTATTAAATCGATCGGTCTCTGAGTAGGCGAGTTCTTAGGACTTAATCTTGGCGACGATCTACTTTCCGGTGGTTTCAAAGTGTTCGTTCCTTCTTGACGAGTCTTTGATATCGTTTCGTTGCGCGATCCTTTGCTATCCTTTTTCTCATTTTTCTCATTTTTGTCCTCTTCGTTGGGAGCCATTTTAGAACTAGATTTTCTTTTCTTAACTATTTTTTTCTTTATCTTCGAAGATTCCGGACTACTTTGTTTACTATCGTTGGGTGTCGCTACGAGACTGGCTTCATTCGATGATGCCGGTGTCATTGTTTTCTCATTATCATCTCCATTAGAAAGATCGTCTTGATTGCCCCATTTTGAGATCAGTGAGATAGTCGAATTGGTCCATTCGTTGGTAGGTGTGCTAGGACTCTCATCTTCTTCGTCTATCTCAGGTTTTTCAATTTGATCATTGGTTAATGTCACTTCCAATACTCCGACAACGTTTATTATGGGTAACGAGATCTCGTTGACCGGTGTAGAAAGTTCCGATTGCAATTGAGTTGGCGTTGAGGATGATGACACTGTTGAAGATGAATTCTTATCCGATGATTCGATTCCTTTGATCAGGGGAGTTTTTCTTTTAACGGTCGAAGACACATCCTTTGACACGTCCTTTGACACGTCCTTTGATGGAGGTGGTGGTGGTATAGAAATCACAAGATCTGCTTTCTTACGTAATTTCTTTTTTTCTACTATTATCGTTTCCTTATTATTCTTTTCAATTGGAACTTTTGTTAATGTAATATCTTCTTTATTGTTGATAAGCTTGTTCTCGTCGAGAGGACTTTTCGCGATCGTTCTTCGCTTTTCGGGAAAGCTCGTAGTCGTTGTCGTAGTCGTCGTAATCGTCGTAGTCGTAGTCGTCACCATCGCTGCCGTGATATTACTGGACAAGTATGCCGGAGTGCTGGGTGCAATGCTTATTTTAAGATCACTTCCTTTTTCCTTATTGTCCGGTTGCCTTTTTATTGACGACGATGACGAAGATGATGCTGACGATGCTGATGACGAAGAAATCGATTCCACTTTGGGATCATTGACAGATTCTATTCGTTTTTCTGTTTCGTTACTTTTGATTTCGCTCCAAAAATCAATCGATTCGTTTGACTCGCTTTTCAAAACGCCATCAATCTTTTCGTTAATCGGCGTGTTAATTAATTTATCGTTAGTATCCGCGACAAATTTGGTATTTTGTTTTATTATCAAGGATGGGACTTTACCCAATACACCGTTCTGGAACGTAGCACCAGTTTTGTTAGTATAGGTCGAATCCGTTGGCATGTTTCGCGATAAAACGGTCGTCGTCATCGTGCCGTCGACCTCTTTCGTATTTCTCCCCGCCATAGCGGATTTACTCTTGTCTCCGGTCTTTATTAAATCGTCCTTAGTGTTATTCGATACGAAATCCTTATTATTCGCATTTAATTTCATTCCACGAATCTCACCGTCCTTGGACTTGGCAATCACCGAATCAATTGCGTTCGATTTCGCATCAACGGTAATAATTAAATTGGTCTCATCGGTTCTCTTCTCACGAGGAATCCTCTTCAAGGTTTCCCCTTTATCTATCGTATTTTTTGCTAATGACGTACCTCCGTCCTCGAGATTTTCAATTTTTGGTGTATTTGCCAGGTACTCTGGTGGTGCTCGTAACGAAAGCTCTGGCGCTTCTACGGCATTATTTTCATCCGTATTAATTTTAGACGGTTTTGGCAGCCACGATGCCTTCGGTGTAAGCACCGACGACACCGCGGCGCTGTTTTCAACCGTATCATTACGGATAACAATCCCTTTATTATTTATCGATGAATTATTATTTTCTATTTTATTCAATATCTTCTTTTTATCCGTATGTTCGATACCCGACAAGATAATATCGTTTTTCGTTTCTTCCTTTTTCTCATCCTCGATGATATCTTTACGAACTATTGATTTACATTCGTCCGTTTTATCAAGGACCTTTTTACGCTTCATATCGTCTATTTTTTCTTTCAATGTCTCCGAGCTTTTATCGATTGCTGTAATCGATTTCTTTTTTTCCGAACTATCTATTTTAATCGTTTTAACTTCGACGTTATCGTCATTCGACGTTGTCGTCGTCGTCGTCGTAGTCGTATCCTTTTTATTTTTTTTTATATGTACATCGTCCTTTAAATCCGTTTTATCATTAATTAACTTTTCTATATTTTTACTTTTATCAATTTTTGTTTCGGGTAATGCGACTTTGTTTTTAGATTCGTCGTTAAGTTTCAATGATTTATCTAATGGAGAAGTGTTCTCGTTAGTTTCATTACCAATTTCTAAAACTTTTTGTAAAGTATCCCTTACTCGAATCTTCAATAAATCTTTTTTCGAGAGTGCATCGACACCGTTAGTCATTTTCCGTTGAATTGAAACGTCAACGTCCTTAACGTCAACCTTTTTCTTTTCTTTATCGTGAGTTTTTAATGTAAGATATACGCTATTCCTCGATGTATCTTTGATATAGGGTTTACGAACTGGCAACACGATTTTAGTTTCAGTTTCATCGATGATACCATTTTCTGGTACCGTGGCAACGCCCCCAGTTTGCTTAACGTTAGCCAAAGCTTTTCTGGGAACAGGAATCCTAATGCTTTCTCTGAATTGTTCGATACTTGCTTTTTCCTCCGTATTATCCGAAATTGCATTAACCAAAATTGTCGACAAATCACCGACACTGTTGGACGCTTCGATTTTATAAACAGACTTTTCGGGTTTATTTGCCTCCTGATTTTCATCTTTCTTCGGGTCTTCTAAGTTAATCGTTTCTTCGTTAGAACGAATACTATCAGATCGTTTAACTTCAATCGCATCGTCTTCTTCCTTTTCCTCATCCTCAGTAGGCGATGGTTTTTCCAGAACCTTTTTCTTCTTTTTTATCTTCTTAAAAGTTTTCTTTACCTTAGATGCAGTCTCATTGTCCTCATCTTTAGTAGACTCTACAGATTCCTCGCTGTCGTCGAAAAAAGATGAAATTGATCTATGACCTCTGATAACACCTTTCCTGATCAAAGTACCTCTACGAACTTCATCCTCGATCTCAGCTTGTTCCTCGGCTACTAAATTATCCAAAACTTTTGCTTGGACTTGAGCATAAGCAACTTCTCGTTGAATTTGTTCCGCATCTAATTGAATATCGGCCGATGATCTTCTCCTTGTCATCCTTCGAGTTATCCTTCCTTGCATCGATTGGATATCCTGTATATTGTTTCCTCGATCAAGACTGACCTGATGATAAAGTCTCGTTCGAGTTTCTTCATCCTCGGAAGATTTTTTATCCTTTATCAAGAATTTTTCAACCAACAACTCGCCCACGCTTTTCTCGTGTTTCTCATTGTGCTCACGCAATGCCGGATTATCTTTCAAAGCTTGCGATCTTATTTTAATCGTTGGTCTATCACGTCGAAGCCGATTATTACCCCTTTGCCGATTTTCGTCTCTCGACGATAGTGTTCTCGGTGTTGATACATCGATATCTGCAGTATCGATTACTCGTCTCACCCGAGTAGTCGCTGTTGTCACCGGTGAATAACGTCGTAAATTGCTCAACGACGATTCCGTGATCGTCGACAGGTGTGGCGCGAATCTCGTTGACGACAGCGGATTGTGGAAACTTCTGTATTAATTTATTAATTATCGTTATTCCAACGAGCAGCATCATTTTACTTTTTTTTTTTTTTTAAATGATAATTAGATACGCGTTTTACGTAGATATAGTATTATCCGTTTTTTCTTTTTTNTTTAAATGATAATTAGATACGCGTTTTACGTAGATATAGTATTATCCGTTTTTTCTTTTTTTCTTTTTTTTTTTTTTTTTTTTTTTTTCTTTTTTTGCATTCGCTATAATTAATTGTAACTTGTAAACAAGTGTAAATTAATCTTGGCAGGTATATGCGCGAATGGTGGAGAAAAATTTATTTGTTTTATTTTATGTATATATATATTTATAGAAATAGACTTGAAAATTGAGCAAGTTACTTGATGGACGATTAAAAATAAACATAAAATAATACATTTGTTATGTAAATTTTGTTCTATTTTATATTAATAAGATTAAGGAAAATAGAAACAATAGGATAATACAAATTGGATCGTTCACATGTGACTGCCAAGCATCAATCGATCACAGCCCTTCGATCAGCCGTGTACACTCCTCAATGCCAAACGTTTATTTTTATACCACGTTACGTTATAGGACAACAGTGTTTCACGAACACTTGTTGGGTGCACGTGAAATACTAAAACTTCCGATTTGGCACACTACCATCGATACGATGTCGATCAATTAATGAATCGATTGAAGCATTGCTATTGGATAATGACAAATGACTCACGAAACGATACGTAGTACGTTAACTTCTTGTATATGCATAAGCAAAATATATAAATCAATTAAACCGATTCATAAACATCAATGAGATGTAAATATGATCTTAATAAAATCAATATCGGTATCGAGATATGAATTGTATTCCAAATTTTTTATATTAAATTTAATGTTGCAATATATTTTTCAAGAAAAAGTCTTGAAAAAAAGAAAGAAAAGAAAAATTCTGAAATAAAATGCAAAATGAACAAACGTAAAACGTATTTTGTTCGCGAGAAAAAAAAAAAAGAAGATCCGTTGAGCGTCATACCGAGTCTAAGAAAAAACGGTGGCTTGCAACCAAAAACATACAGCAAAAAATAAAATGCACGCCGAAGAAGAATGTGATAAACTAAAAGAAAAAGAACGAGATCGTAGAGAATCGTTTCGTGGAAATAAAAATGTACGCGGAAAAATACAAAATAAAGAATACAAAGGTATAATATTCTTGGTAGATTTTTATTATCTATCCTCTTTTATTATTACTTTATAAAAAAGTGGGGGTCACAGTAGAGTAGAATAAATTATTATATATGTTTCAAAATAATGTAACATTCGTGTTGAATGAGATGGAAGAAAAAATATTCTAAAGAGAAAATAACAAAAGATCATATTCTCATGCTTACCGTGGTATTCCAGTCATAAGAGAACTATGATTAGAAAATGCCCCTCCATAATAATAAGGTGTAGTGTCGCCGTAGTACGGCATCTTGACCACGTCTTTCTAATAACGTATGTTTGTTACTAATAATTCGACTTGGTGTGAAAAAGAGAAATAGTAGTCCCTGTTGAGGACAAAGAATAAATAAGAAAGGAAGGAAGGAAGGAATGAAGGAACGAACGAACAAACGAAGAGCCGGTTCGAGAGGAGACTGAACGCGTTATGCGCGGTTCTTGCCGGCTCAGGTGTACGACGAGGCGTTCTCACGGCTTGCGATGCCAAGACCGACTGATGTGAGTTTAAACCAGCGACCCAGTGTAATAATAGATTCCTAGTATGAGCCTTCCTACAGCCTAACTATATTACATAGACTCAGACAACTTCGTACATACAAACATTATTATTACTAATAATTACAACTCTTGAATACAACGATGGATACGTTTATGTGCGCGTATTATGAACGCGTGCACACATCCTTGTATAGTATTTATTAATAACTTTTTTATAATAATTAGAATCAAACGAAGACGCACGTAACATATATTTAATTGCAGGATCGTAATATAAATACGAAACGCCATATTGGTTCTTTTTTCGTATTTATTTTTTTTACTTTATATATTGTACAACGTTTATATCCAGTTGTATAGTTATAATCGATGTTACGAGTCATTTATTTAATGTTAGGTTGTTTCCATAAGTTCCTTCCTTTTTTTTTTATGAGATTTCAATAAACGATATGTGTTGTTTAAGGTTGATTTAATATTTTATATTGGGTTGGCAAATAAGTGAGTATGGTTACTTTAATAAAAATCTACAGGTCCCCGGGGGACCTCTCTTTCTCTTTGTATAAATAAGTACTTACGTAAATATATATATATATATAAATAAATTATAAAGAAGAAGAAATTATTAAAATAAATGTAATATTTATAATTTTATGAATAAACACCCTCTCGCTTAGTTGAAAACCGAAAGATCGGCACATTTTAATATAAGTTAAGAATTTAAACAACAAGATTTATTTTTTCGATGTTTTTCATTCTTTATTGATTTGTTTTCGTTTCGTTTACCAAAAGAAACATCCGCTCCCTAATCTTTCTCACTTTCATCCCTACTTTTAAAAAGAGGAAGTCTTTTAAACTTTTAAAGGCCCCGGGGAGGGGGCCGGTGTTTTCAATAGATTTTTGTTAAAGGTAACCATGCTCACTTGGTTGCCAAGCAAAAAATCTGCTCTTATTTTCCAACCCAATATATGAACCGTTCTGTTCTATTATTTTCTTACATCTTCAACATAATCGGCTCGAAGTCATACATAGCGTGGCGTGGAAAGAAATTATGGGACAACCTAATACATGATTTCCGGTCTCATACTTCTATATACCTAGTAAAATTCATATTCTTACGCATATAATAGGTAAAAAAAGGTGCACCGGGATTATGACATAATGATATCTTCGTCTTTTCGATTCATACTTACCATCGCACTTTAATCCTTGACGAAATAGTCCATATAGCATGGAACCACAATGATCGCAAAATGTTGGAGACATGAAAGTATAGAGTCGAAATCTGTGAGGAACGTCCACTTTAAAACGTTGCCTCAAGTACTATCATTAAAAGAAATACAAAATCGTCATATGTATTACGGTCGCTTACTAAAGTCATGAAATATTCCAGCATCTAATTCCTCTGAAATACAAACGTTAAAAGAACGAAATTTTATGAATATTTTATACTTACTATAGTATTTTCTGACTCTCTACCACTTTCCGGACATTTTGTTAACAACTTGTCATGACATTTCTTGTGTACCGCAGTTTGGCAAGCTAAAATATAATGAAACAATAATAAAAATGAGCTAAGAAAATGCGGAGCGACAAAAATAAATTAAAGCGTAAAATTTACCTTGGCATTGGTAACCCTGCTTTCCGAAACCCCTAAAAAGATACAAAATATATCGTTGAACAATAATTAAAAATATAATATTTGTAAATAATGAGAATTGTGATTTAAGTAATGTAATGTATTAATATAAAACGTGTAAATGTATCTTTAGACGAACGTATTGAATCGTATCAAAGAATCTCCTTTACGGAATAATATAGTTTCGTCAGAGAAATTGGCACTTAAAGAGACGCGTTTTGCAAGCAATAAATTTTAACTTGCCGAAATGTTTAACCGTGCAGTTGCTCAATACATTTACGTGATATATATATATATATAATGTATATAAGTAGGAAATAAACTTACCAAAGGAAATCCTTACAAAAGGCACAAAACGTTGGTTGTCTAAAAAATTTAGCAACTAATCTATGACCTCGTATAATATGTACTTTGTTGTGTTTGACGGCACCTCTTCTTCCCGTTATCGCGTGGCCTACGTTGGTTTCTAATAAGGGTACTTGCGATGAACTAAGGAAATCCCTTCGTGGTACCCTTGTCCTATACACATAAGTTCTAGGAGTTGATATCGTTGGTGGTAAATCTTCGAGTTTCACAGGAACTGGTACCCTTGTTCTAAAATAATATTTTATTGTTTGATAAATGCAATGATGTATTACTTAACGGTACATTAGAAAATTAGATCAAAACAAAGCAAAAACAAAAAAACAATTATTTCATCTTAAGTGATTCACCTGTATGCGTATCCTTCTACTGCAAGTTGTGGTCTAGGACTCTTGTGATCCAAAGAAGTTCTCTTTCCAAATCTTCCTCCTATGCCACAACTACTACTACCACCACCACCACCACTACCACTAGCACTGCCACCACCGCTACCGCTACCACCACTACTACTACTAATTTCACCGTCACCGCCACTACCACCGCCAGCATTCCTTCTTTTCGCGTGACAACCACCACGTGTGAACATCATAATTCACTAATTGATTTTATATAATGAACACTAACTTTATTCGTTTATTTACAATTTTCACGATGACTTCCACGGATTCCTCTATTCAACGTTCCATACAAATTAAACTCTAAACTATATAAGATAATGATTAATTTGAATATTTTGGAATTAGAATAATTCCCAAAAAGATGTTCTCGATTCTTTTGATAAGATATATTCCTTCAGAAAAAAAATCTCGAATACTTAACTATATATATATATATAAAAGAGATCGAAAAAGAAAGAGAAATAAGAACTTGTAATGTATTAAACTCGTTCTCTGTTTGAGTTTATCAATTTAAATTAATGCGAATGATAAACTTCCGAGCAATTTTTCTATCATCGAATATGCACACAATTTTTTTCCAATTAACACTAAGCAAAATGTAAACCTAACAAAATGGAATTTCAATTGTCGATTGACGACGTTTTTCATTATTTCTTTAATCTCTACTTGTATTATATGAGTTTCTTTTTTTAAACTACTTATTCCTCATCTTCCTTCCACATAAATACGCGAATACTACGAGAAAGAAGGAATTCGCGTTACACTTCGAACGGTATTCCATAATAAGCGCATACATTTGCAGTATTTTTATTTGTACAGAGTATACACGCATCATTCGATAATTTATCTTTCGCTAATAATTTTTTTTTTTTTTTTTTAATAATATTTACTTACCAGTAGAAAATAAAGATATTATTTTGGCAATTTTGTTTCGTTCGATCGACATTTCGCGTGCTAATCGCGTCGCGCCGATTTTTAGGATCGAAATTTATTCAACAAGGGATAATCCTTTCGATATAGAAATCGATCTTAATGGCCATTCGTATCAATTAAATCATATAAAATATCCAAATACTAAATATCACATGCAAGCATTGATTGTTGCAGGAACTAAGTTTTGACGCTTAAAGCTTTCGTAGGTTCCTACGAAACTCAGGATTTCTATAAATATCGGCGCCTTGAATACTATCTGTATCACTTGCTATTCGAGATAATCGATTAATCTCTAACGCGCCAACTTTAAATATATATGTATATGTATATATACTTTTTGTTTTTTTTTTTCTTTCGTTCACAAGTTAATATTAGTTAGAAAAACTAACGATTGTTATTAAATTATTTATCTATACAATTATATTCGATATTACAAGTTATAAATAATGTAAGTAAATTTAAGCACGAATATCAATAAGTAAGTAGGAAATTTTATTACTCGTTGCGAAATTATTAAAGAATTGTTGTTCATAATCGGAAAAAGACAGCAATGCGTTCTTAGTTTATATCTTCAAGCAGAGAACAATTCGACAAGTTAAAAGTTAAAAAAGCCGAGGACTTAATTCTTTTTGTTTTTAACGATTAATACTGCTCCTTTTTTTTTTGTTTGCACCGAAGCAGTATTTTTCTTTCGAAACGTATAGAACATATGAAACATACGTGCGATTCTGTCTTTTACCTGCCGATTAAGATTTTATTTACATTTGAGATAAAATATGTACTGTAACTGTAATAAGAATACATTACTATCCGTACAATATTTCAGTGAATTATCTTACGACTCCACTCATATGCTACATAATAGAGCATAGTTACTAATTAAACTTCTTATTATATAAAAAAATAATGTTTTGTACGAACATAAAATTTTTATATACTATTTCTGAACAAAAAGTGAAAGAAAAAAGAAATTACATAGTTTTGTTATACACATTTTATGATTTATATCTAATTTATAATAATTACTTCAAATGTTTAACCCAGTAGCTGAAATACCTTTTCAGCTATTTTCGGATTCCAAGTAAAAGAAAATTAATTGGGAATGATCGGACGTAAATTTCTTTTTAGCGAGAAAGAAATAAATTTAAAAATTCATGAAAAATGAAAAATGCCAACACAGCATTCGTTTACAAATAGCTGTGCGATTATCAAGAAATGCGCATCTTCCAAAGGAAGGCACAGATCGTAGCTTTTAACACGCGTGCTGCATAGGACCTAAAGTTTCAATGAATTTGAGCCTTTATACCCGTTAGTGTGATTTCTCTTTTTTACAAGTTAGTTGTATAAGGGTAACACTTTATTGATACAATCGATCAACCGTCAGTGTTGTTCAGTTGCTAATTTCTTAGGTTGCCGTTCTTGAGCACGCTTAATTCTTTGTAGCAATAAATTATATAATAGTTCAATTTCTTTGGGTATTGCTTGAACAATAAAAATTCTTATGTCTCCGTGTACATCCATTGCCGTAAGTCTCAATGATTTTGGAGATGCTCGTTCCGCGGTCATACCAGGCCAAACTTTAGTATTGAGAATCAATCGCTGTGTTCCAGCCGTACGTCCTACCAAACGCGATTCCTCATCTCTATCATTCAATCGAAGAGTTCCTCTGCCTCTTTCTTGCCAACTACTGGAAGCCTGAAATAGATAAGAAAAATTCTTAGTAATATCACTTTTAACAATCATTTATACAATTATTACACAATACAACACATTTATTTATTAATATTTACGTTTTTTCTACTAAAAACCCATTGTATATTATGATATATACCTTATCAAAAGCAAAGAGTTTACAATTTATCTGAAGAACATTTGTCTCTCCTTCTTCTCCAGTTAACAACGTTACTTGGCTATATTTTCTCTTATTTGCTCGACTAGCCTCTTCAAGTTCTTGTGCTGCCTGTGTTAATGTTAAACCAGGACGACTAGCTGAACGACAAATAGCTGCTGCATTTGAGAAAAGTAATTCTGAAGAACCGTTTTCGTTAGTTTCCTCTTTCTTAGTTTCTTCTTTCTCTACGTTCTCAGATTCTCCTACATCACTGGAAACAGTTACTCTTTCTTTTAAATTTTGACCAAATATGAAACTAGGCTCTGAAGCACTAGGTTCCACTGTATTATTTACATTACTCTCGTTATCTTTTGTGTTTCCACATAATGGTAAAAATTTGGGTACTATTTCTTCTGCTTGTTTTTCTTCAGTTTTACATTCTTTCGTTTCATTTATATCGTTTTGTGTTGTTGAACTATTATCATTACTTATAGTTTCATCAGTTGGCTTTGTAAGTAGACTATTCAGTTTCGGAGATTGCAATACAGTTTTATTCGTAGACGATGTATTGTTCGCAATTGAACCTAATTGTGAAGGCCTTAATATTGTAGATCTTGGCTTATTGGAGAATTCATTAACTCCAAACGAATTCCCAAATTTCGAAGCTGTTAAAACAGGACCTAGAGACGTGATATTCATATAAATATAAGGATAAAAGAAATATTTAATCAAATGTAACCAACAAAGAGAAATTACATTTCATATGGATAACAAGTATATAAAAAGAAGTTGATAATACATATATAATAATATAAAATGTAATATCCTAATTTTACTTTAAGTTCAAATTGAATTTTATTTATTATTTTCGTTTATATGTGTTTTCAACTTACAATGTATTTTAACAGTCGATTTGGTGGATGCAGATTCCTCTGTATTATTTTCTACAGACTGGCCTTCCATATTTTCTGTAATATTTCAATAAAACAAAAATTATATGCTATTTAAATATATAATTATTTAATTGTGATGACTTAAATTTGTATACAATGCCTCTATATGAATTTTCTACAAAATTAATAATTATAGCAACTTGACCAACAAAGCAATTTGATTCATATCAGAAAATCTTCATACAATTATTTAATGCAATAAAAAGCAATTCATTTGAAATAAATGATATTACTTATTATTATATTATTTTAAAGATTAGCATATGTGACAAGGATAATTAAGAGAATTAATAAAAAGAAATTTACCACTAAGCTGCCTAGTATTACTTTATACGTTATCACTATAGAGAATATAGCAACTTTGTAAAGTCTTTCCACTACATCAATTTATAGACACGATATATATATATATATATTACACTATTGAAATATTTAATATAATCATATACATTGACTGCATAGTACAAACTTAATATCAAACATGAAGGTTTAACGCAACCTTACACTCCGCCATTTTTTACATACAAATGGGAAAGTATATTGATAAGGCCATCTATATGCATATGAGTGAATTTTAATTTAAAAGATGTTTGCAACAATTCAACTGTACGGGCACAAAATGTAATTATAATTAAAAATAATCGTAAAAAGATTAATTTTAAAATATATATTGTAGTATATAAGTCTTTTTAAATAATTACACAAATATATTAGACCCACCTGAAGATTACATCAAATCGAAAATAAATATGATTTTAATAAAAAATATAGATGATAGATATATGAATTTATGAAATTATAAATTAAATTTATAGAATTATACACACACGATTTTATATTTTAGATCTAATATTTACAGCATCATGTGTTTAATAAACGAATTCCAATATAAATTATAATATTATTTGTATTTATAAACTGAATACCACATTCTATATATCTTTCATTATATCTGAATGATTATTGGTCTCTCTGATGATAAAAGAAGTGGACCAATCAAAATCGAAATTTAAAACTGTCCAATAAATAAAATGAATTGCACTGAGCTTGTTTTATTAAACAATATTCTGTACAATAGATTTATTTTAAAGAAAATTGTCCTTAATTATGAACATTTTATAAAACAATCGTAACTTCATTTTCATTAAATAAATAAGTTAAGTACATTAGTACGTACGTTTATTTTTTAACTTCAAATTTGATTTACATTTTATGATAAATGTTTTTCGATCAAGTTTAGAAAAAATAACAATTTTAATAATTTTTACTAATATAAGAATCAATTTTATTTAATATCTTAACTTCGAAAGAAAATGATGACAAAATTAAAATGTAGAGAATTTGACTAGGAATTATACGAGGCAAAAAGGATGAAATATGAATGCAAATAAAAGCAACGAAACATTGTAAATGATTCAGAGAAGAAACTAAAACAATATAAAAAATAAAAAGATAGTAATTATACGAGTAATTTCATATTCTTTGTTTTGAAATATATATTTTATACGATTAAGTGAAACTTTTGTATATAAATTTATTAAAATATTATTGCTGCTTTTCGATTTATCTTCTTGAAAGTTTTGACGAAAATAATACAGGTGTCGCTGATAGTCTTGTAAACGGAAATCATCAGAATGCATCTAACATATGGTACTGCAAGTAGGATAAATGGTAGTATTTCTTCTAAGTCGATTCTTTTAGATTAAAGAGAAAGTTAAAGAGTGGTAGTAATCCAACTGGAAATTTCGGATACGAATTTAAGATCATGTCGCATCAAACGGGTATAAAAGGTAATTATAATGCCAAGTTTGAAATAATATACGATATTTCAAAGAAGTTAGAAAATTACATGATATATAAAATGATTTAACCTTAGTTTTATAGCTTAATGAATACATCCTTCAATGATTATTTCTTTCTCTCTTTCTCTTTGTAGCAAACGATGCATTGAAAAAAATGTTTTCCAAGTGCAGAGATGGAAAAATACGTATATTAAAGGTTTCTATAGAAAATGGTATGTGCATATATTATTTCATATATTTTTTTTAAAACTAATTATATAATATTTATTTCATTTATATTATATAGTGTAAATATATTTGTGAGATCTTATCATTTCCACAAGTATTGTGATAAAAGTCTTTACTGTTATCGTGATGTTAAAATTGATATATGATATAAATAATCTAAATCGCAAAGTTATATATTCAATGTAGATATAATACTTTTGATATGTTTTATACCAATTCGTAAATTAATATTATTTTATAGAAGAATTAGTTCCTGCAACTTTTAATAAACCATCGAATAAATGGCACGAGGATTATGATAAAATGATTAAGCCTTTAATTCTTGAAAATCAACCTGCATATATCCTTTATCGGCTTGATACAAAATCTACTGATTCTGGTTACGATTGGTTGTTTATATCTTGGTCACCTGACACTGCTCCAGTAAGACAAAAAATGCTGTATGCATCCACAAAAGCTACTTTGAAACAAGAATTTGGAACAGCTTGCATTAAAGAAGAATTGCATGGAACTGTTCCCGAAGACATTACATTGGAAGGATATCACAAACATAAAAAAAATAATGCAGCTCCTGCGCCTTTAACTACAGCGGAAGAAGAATTAGCTGAATTAAAAAAGACTACCGTTAATACTGATTACAACGTTGAAACAAGGCATCAAACATTGAGTGGTGTCGCATTTCCTGTTACGGATGAAGCTAAAAAAGCAATTACAGAATTTGCTAAAGGCATGCATGAATATGTTCAATTAAAGATTGATATAGAAGAAGAGAAAATCCATTTGGTCACAGCTTGTGATGTTTCATTGGATAAATTACCTACAAAAGTTCCATCTGATTCTGCTAGATATCATCTTTATAATTTCAAACATACAAATGAAGGAGATTATATGGAATGCATAGGTTAGTAATATTTATTCATCCATGAATTCATGAATTTATTGTGTTATAAATAATATTCGCAAAATTAAAATCAATGTTTTGTGTCAGTTTTCATATATAGCATGCCGGGATATAGTTGCACTATCAAAGAAAGAATGTTGTATTCTTCCTGTAAAGCTCCACTACTTGATCTTATTCAATCTCTAGGAGTGATTATAACGAAAAAGGTTAGTAATTAAAAATATTATTTAAAATACTTATGGTATTCTGACCATTTCTGCTAGTGTTATTTTTATTTTCTTTTTAATTTATTCTATGGAATGTTAAGAATAATAGAATCATAAACATTTCAATACAAGAGATATTCAGAATACCATCTTGCTTTGTACATGAAATAATTTTATTTTACTAATTCATAGAAAATAAACATAGTAACATAATAGTTGTATTTTTTAAGAAGAAAATTTTATTATATATGTTATTTGAAAATAAGACTATTGTAAAGTGGTTCTAGTTTGTATAAAATTAGAATGAAGATGATTATAAGAAGGATAGTACAACATAATGAATGGAATCAAATAATTTTAAACAAATATGATTGGTACTAGTTGGAAGTAAATAGTGGCGAGGAGTTGGCAGATATGTTGGAAGATCCTCCAACCATAAAAGAAACAACTACGATAACGCCTGCAACTCCGTCAACACCTTGTGCGCCTACTCAGTCCATGCCAGAGAAAAAGTCGAAACAGAAGAGATCGTGTGTTTTAAGTTAACTGATTTATAGGGCCTTTTACTTGCCAATCGTGTATATGCTTTACATGATCAGAAATGATTGTGATGCTCAACGCATAACAGTTTCGTTTATAAATTCTGAATTTGTGATAGTATAACATTGACGTTGAATACATTATTAAAATTATATAATATAATACAAATTCAGTATGTCATAGTGAATTATAAGATCATATATATTCTACATATTTGGGGAAGTTTTATCATTTAATGGTGTTTATCAACGTTTAATATTACTTGATCATCGTGATATATATAATTATGTAGAAAAACAGAGTAGACTAAACTATGTATTTTTCTAAATTTTAAAAAGATATTATTGTATCAATACTCGTCAAAATTATATATAATAAGTATGACCACTCCAGTGATGGGAGTGAAGTTAGTGAATTGTTTTTAATTCACAATGAAGATTTTTAAATGGGTGGAATCTTTTTAAATAAAATAACAATGTTTTTAGATTAAATGAATAATGAAAATGACGTGATGGTAAAGACATATATATATATACATATATATATAATGTTTGGGATATGAATAGTATCTATTAATGTATGATGGTTCAGTAGTTCACATTTTAGCAGAACTTCCAGAACTTATCTATCATACAAAATTTAAATAATATTTAAGAAACATTTCGATTGTGTAATGGTTATTTTGTTCTTGTTAATCATGTACAAGGCTGTACATTAATATCCCATCACTAGGAGAACCAATGATAAAAAAAATTTCATAACGTAAAATTCTTGTTGACTTATGAAGGGTGTATGAATTATCATTCATTTAATATTACATCATATATTTAAATATGACTGCTTAATGTGGTTTAATGTTGTTGAAAGTTAAGCCTTCAATGAAATATTCAAATATTCAATAATTAATATTAAAATTCAAACACTTTGAGATTTAATGAAGTATAATTATTTCATAAAACAAAAATTGCAATGTAATATTTAAGATATTGGTATAAGATTTTAATTGAATGCAATAAGACATTAACTTAATAGTTCCTTTAATAGTGATTTTATCTTTATGTTCTATATATTTTATACATTATTATTAATATTATAATTATTATTATTATTATAATTATTATTATATATTTCTAGAAAATGTGGAAATCCAGCACATCAAGTCTTGATTTGTTCCTAGTCCTAAAAATGGTGATATGTATGTGTATGTACATATACACATACAGATATATAAGTCTTCTTATTTTATTATTATAAATTTAATTTTTATGAAAATGGAATATATTTTAAGGCTTGGCTTTCAAATTCATTAAAACTTTCATATAGATTTTAGTAAAATATGTTATCATGATTTTTGTAAATGTTTTTGGTAATCTATATATCATATATGATTATAAGAGAGTTAGAGAGTAAATTCCAATTGCTCCTGTTAGCAAATGTTGCAGAAATAATTTCTCTGTGTCTTTTGAGCATAGTAATAGTAAAATGACAGCTTCGTAAATCAATAATGACATATATTGTGAATACAATTTCTTTACAAATTATCACATACAATGTTAATAATATATTATATGCTCTACTATTTCTAAACGACACAGAACATTAAACTCCATAAATACATGTAAAACATAAGACTGATATTAGCATGTCTCACCAGCTGTGTTGCTGAAATTAATATTAACTATTATATTTTACATTCTGCTTTTAAAATCGAATATACATATATTGTCTATTTAGGCAATCAATTCAATTTTAATAATGTTAGATCTGTTATAAGCATAAAACGTACAAATTGCAATTATGCATCTCTAAAATAAAATATGCACAATGTATTTTTATTATCTAAACTACAAAAGATTTAGACATTAGCATACGTATAATATTTTTTGTATCCATTTGTAGAATTAGTTTTATCAAAATGAAGTGAATACATGATTCTGTTTTTTTTATTTTTTTTTTACATATATATCATTATAATATGAGCCTATCATTAATATTTACTATAGATCTGCATTGATTATAAATTTTCTTTTTTTAATCTATGTATATGCTAATGAATATTTTGTCATTTAACTCGAAGACGAAAATAAATTGGTATTTTATATTATATTAGTATGTAGTCAAATATATACAAATTTGATATATATACTATATTTTTAGGAATCTCCAAATGTTATAAATACATAATATACAGCTGGTGTGACTGTAATTTCATAGCTACAAAATATTCAAGAGTCATTCTATTTTTTGTGATCTGTATTTTTTTATCTCTTGTAGCTTTTTATAAACATCTTAACGATTTTTGTCTAAGGTATAATCAAATGGCTGTAATAATTTGGCCAAATTTTCGTGTTCATAATTAAATGAATGAGTCAAATTCTTTAACTTTCCTTTTTTTTTAGTGATATTACAGTAGTACAAAAATTTCACAGCATATTTAAATTATATATGAAAAATAAAATAGAAAACTTTACAGTATATATGTTAATTCCTTATTTATAGTATAATTGGTATTTATTGAAAAATAAAAATGGAATTTAAATTATAGATATATAAAATAAGTAGTAATAATATGCTGTGTCATTCGCATTCCAGAGGATATTAAAAGAGGATTTGGCTCATACACATTTTAATTTTACAAAATTGATAGCGAGTAAATCAATGCTTGTATAAGCCTCTGAACAGGTGATATGTATATTTTATTTTAGATCTTTTTACAATGCGCACTTTTGCCTGGATATATATAATTTTATTGACATTACTATATACCAGGCCTATTCTGTAAGTTTTTAATATTATTATTTTTTAATTATTTTAAATACATTATACCCATAGGTTCTTCATGATAAAATAGACTATATATCTTGCCAATATTACATATGGTACAGAAATAAAGTAACATGCAATATAAATCTACAGTTTAATATTTCAATTTTTTTCCAAATATTTATACTATACTGGATTTCTAACAACCACAACCTGATGCATCTTCAAACTGGTATGTAGTTAGTATTATTAAGATTTGAAGACACGCGTATATATAATTCCGCTTACAGAATAGGCCACCTTTATATTATTTAACAATTTGATTATCCATTATATCATATAATAGATGCATTTGTTTTGTTATGATCTTATACAATAATATTATTTTTAAATGTTACTTATGTAGCTTTCGATAGATGATGGAAAGGAACTAACTGAAGGATTTTTACAAGAGGAATTACATCCAAAAGTCAATTTACATCGTCCAAAATTTGCCAAACCAAAGGGACCACCAAACAGAGGTGCCAAACGTATAACCAAGGTACAGGAATTAGGTACCTTAGATCAAGATACTTGAATAAATCAATAACATATTAATTTGTATTAAACATAAGCAGGGTCATAGCGTGGTAGTAATTAAAAATATAAGATTGTATTAGTATTAAAAAAAGTATTCGCAAAAATTGGACGTTGCATAGAAATATGAAGACAAATGCCTATATGAATATCATATTCATCTATATTTTGTCAAGCAAAAAATATTTTTCCTTATAATTTTTTTATATCGTATCAGGTCAAGCCTATTCTGTAAGTTGTGATGCTCGGCGAGTTAATACTCTATTTATTTATTTCAAAATCATGTAATACATTATTGTATTCAATATTATTTTATTATTAATTTGATTATTATATTAAAAGAAATTTTTTTTTAAATATATAAAATTTATATATGTAATAGCAATGTACTACATGTATCATGTATACTGGTATGTTTCTGTTCTGAGTGAATTATGGAATTTATTTAAGAGTATATTGATTTTATTAAATATTAAATATAAATAAAGATTTATATCGCGGCCAATATTACGATTTATTCAACCAATTATTAATTTACACATTAAAGAGTTGAATATTTTGTATATACTGCAATATAGTAAATTCAGATATTCTAAATGATGATTGATGTATGAGAATTTAAGAACATTGTTACATTATATTTACATAATATATTCTATAATATATATTCACACACAATCTCTATTTATCTACTTCGTTACTTTTTATTTCTGTAGAAGATAATTTTTTCTGCACATTTTGAATTTCTTCGTAAAGGGTCTTTGCTTCTCCATGTTCTTTTTCTAAATGTTTACCCATTGCTTCTTTAAATACCCTTTAATGTAAATTAAAAATATATTTAAATGCACAAACATGAATTGAATTTATAGTTAATATAATATTTGAACGTTGATATTCATAACAAATTTTAGTGGAAATTTTGATAGTAAATACTTACGCGCCTCTTTTATAAGACCAATAATATTGTATACGTTCAAAATCTTCCTGTGACATTCCTGTTAACTTAATCAAGATTAAAGAAAAAGAACCACCAATAGCTCCAAGAACAGTACCAACAATCAGACCAACTAATGAACCTTTGACACCAAGTGATAACTTAAATAAAAACCCAGCAATACCAGCTCCAGTCATGTAATGTAAAATTGAAGGTTTCCCATAATATGCACCCAACATTATTCGAATGAATCTGAAATATATTTATTAATAATTATTATTGCTAAACATATCAAATATCAAAGATAAATCTTTAACTATTCTTAATCTTACTCATAAAGTCCACAAAACACAGATAATCTCCAGCCAAATTTATAAGCACCCTTAGCAAATGCTATTGTAACTTTGTCTTGTAAAGATCGCTTTGCATCCATATGATTATAAAAACGTGTTGCTTCATTATTATCTATAAATTGCTGTGCAACTCCTCGTGTATTGGTCACACCACCCACGATTATACCAACCAAGGCTGCAGTACTTGTGAAATTAATTAAACTTTGAAGTTCTTTGCTTAAAGGCTCGTAGTCGCTAAAAATAATAATCAATTTGAATAATATATATCTCTCAATTGACCAGTGTTAAAAATCTCTTACGTAGAAATAAATATTTTTCTTATCCTTCCCATGGGAGTATCTTCTATGTCCTTAGCAAGTGGAATTTTAGGTGTATCATAATTTCCCAAATATTCTTTAATTGGATATACAGCCATATATAAGGGTCTACTTATTGTTCTAACGTTAAACATATTGCTGCTCTTGAAAATTTCTTATCCTATTTATAAGAATTGCATAAATTAAAGGTTAATAAATAGCGTTATCTAATATATTAAATATTAATGTTCGTGCTCAGTAGCACTGAATTTTATTGTATTTGTCATAATATAAACTAATGCTACACAGATAAAATTATATAATTAATGCAAATATACTTACAGTATAACTTTAGACAATATTAGAATGAAATGCACATCTTACAATAAACGTGTTAAATTTTTGAAAGCAGAAATAAGTGATAATCTATTATATTTTCTAATTAATATCATGACAAACAGCAGAATAAATAGTTTTTTGTATAACTATTGAGAAATTGATATTTATTTATCAATTATTTATTTTCAAGCAATATTAAAATATAAAAAATATAATTATTACTGTAGAAATGTAAATACCAATTTATATACTACTTGCTTTTGAATTACATTACAGCTATGCCCTCTGCTTCTTCTCGATGAGCAATCTCTCGATTGGAATAGAGGTTAGTTCGAACTCTGGTAAATAGAAACTTGTGCAAAGTGCATTTCACTGAAAAATTAATATATTTAACATTGATTACAACAAAAATAAATAAATAAATAAATAAATGGTGCTTGCATACTGTATTTTATTGTAAGCATATATATGCAATCTAAAAGCATGTTCAATTTAGTATGTTTGTATATATTATAATATTTACATTCATTTTAAGAATTTTTAAATAATAAATATATTTTCTTATTTTGTAATTACTTACGTAAATGCTCTTAAAGCATTCAATCATGAATGATACATTAGAAATAAAACATGAAGAAAATTTACCACAAAAAAGACCTCAATTTGGAAATCGTGTTTTATCAAACGATGATGATGTTTTTCGTCACAATGCATGGTAATTATACCATAGATATTTTCCAATTATTTCTAAATATTATTATAATAGTGTTCTATGATATCGTATATATTTCTATCTCACCAATATATTAGATATTCTTCTAAATCTAATTAAATTTGAATTCATTATCGATATCATTTTTAAAAGGGACAATGTTTCTTGGGATAAGAAACAAGAAGAATTAGCCCAAATGAAAGTAAATGATAATTCCACTGTTACATTATCAATGGAAACTTTACTGAAATATGAGAATGAAGCTGATAAATATTGGGACAAGTTTTATGGAATTCATAACAATAGGTACACATATTAAATTATTTCTTAAAAAGATTGTTGCATTGAGCATAAATTTATTAGAATTTCGTTTATTTATATAATTTTAGATTTTTTAAAGATAGACATTGGTTGCTCACAGAATTTCCAGAATTAGCACCTGATACAGTAAAACAGAATTCTATGCAACCGATAAGAGCTGTTGTCACAAATGATCATAATGATGATGATGAAGAAACACTTATACAAGTTCTTAATATGTCATCTACAAATTCAAATAAAATCTTAGAAATTGGTTGCGGTGTAGGAAATACTGTATTTCCAATACTTTTGTATAATACAGATCCGAACTTGTTTGTGTATTGTTGTGATTTTTCTGCAAAAGCAATTGATATATTGCAACAGAATTCTGCTTATGATAAAAAAAGGTTAATAAAATATTTTAAATATTATTCAACGCATAATACATGTACTAATATTTAATTATTTATAGATGCAAAGCATTTGTTCTGGATGTGACGCAAGAAGAATGGATAGTACCATATGAACCTGAAAGTCTTGACATTATTGTTCTGATATTTGTTCTTTCAGCTATACATCCAGACAAGTATGTAAAAGTTTACTATAATTTTTACTTGTGTGTGTGTGCATTTAAAGTTAATTAAATTTAAAATAATAATATATAAAAGTTGATTTTATATTATTTCATATTTGAAGGATGGAACATGTTGTTAAAAAAATACATCTCTACTTGAAACCTGGAGGATTAGTTCTTTTTAGAGACTATGGAAGATATGATTTAGCACAGTTGAGATTTAAAAAAGGTAGTTGTTTATCGAAAAACTTTTATGTTCGTGGAGATGGTACTCGGGTATATTTTTTTACACAAGGTAAATAAATTTGATAAAGAAATTCTTTATTACTTTGCGCATACTTTAATATTTCATTTTAACTTATCAATTTATTTTAGATGATGTAAGAAAATTATTCACTAGTAATGGTTTTATTGAAGAACAAAATTTAGTTGACAGGAGATTACAAATAAATCGAGGAAAGCAACTAAAAATGTATAGGGTTTGGATACAAGGAAAATATCGTAAAAAATAAATATGTTGATTTGTTGAAAAATGCAGAGATATAAATTAAGGAAGAGATAATCTTTTATTTATCCTCATCTAAGTTTATATTAAATTATGGGACATAATTTAATAATAATTGAAGTAAGATCAGAAAGTAATAAAATAATACAAGTTCTAGCTTTATTTTACATATCTTTATAATTGATTATTATTCCTTATTCTAAAGAAAATTAATTTGAGATCTATGATAATATTTTTATTTCAACATATCGATCGTATTCTGTATTATCGACCGATATTTCGTATAGACGATTAAAAAGTAAGTTTACGCAATCACGTTTAGATGGCATGGTAGTTGCAACATGGCGACGTTTCTTCATGCTTATACTGTTTAGTACACAGACGTAGTTCAAAGTATAAAGATAGATTCAGTTCTTTTTATAGTGTCGAAAAGTGTTATTATTTAATAATTAATTAACACTATGGGAAATGCTGATACAAAATTGAATTTTCGTAAAGCCGTTGTCCAATTAACCTCTAAAACTCAGGTGACAGCATATAATATCTTTCTCATGAAAAAAATTATAATTTGACGTTTCAATATGTCAAGCAATTATGTGACCAATATTGCTTTTTATTTTGATAAATACTTTTATAAATAAAGAAGAGAAAAGAACATTTTTATTTAATAAGATTTTTATTGTAAGCTAAGTATGATTAAATCGTTTACTTCATATATCTTGCCTTTTATTTAAAATATATTCTTATTGTAGGTGATCGAAGCATCCAATGACACTTTTTGGGATCAATTTTGGTCCGAAAATGTAACCAATGTGCAAGACATCTTTACATTAATTCCAGCTTCTGAAATTCGAATTTTAAGAGAAGAAGCACCATCTAATCTAGCAACATTATGTTATAAAGCAGTAGAAAAATTGGTTAAGGCTGTTGATAATAGCTGTAGGACGCAAAGAGAACATCAAACAGTTCTAAATTGTTGTCGTTTACTTACAAGATTATTACCTTATATATTTGAAGATCCTGATTGGAAAGGATTCTTTTGGTCAAGTTTACCAGGCAAAGAAGATGAAGAAAGTATACCATTAGCACATTCCCTATTAAATGCACTATGTGTAAGTAAATGTATAAAAATGAATAAATTTAATCTTTTATTTACCGCTATTAATCGTTAATGTTTTCTTCTCTAGGATCTACTATTTTGTCCAGATTTTACAGTAGCTGCAAATAGAAAGTCAGGACCCGTGAGTGCACTCTACATCTCAATTAAATATTAATTTTTAATTTACTAAATGAACTCTTTTTTTCTTTTAATAGGACAAAGCAGAAGAATTGCAAACGATAGATAGTTGCGAATATATTTGGGAAGCCGGAGTAGGATTTGCACATTCCCCACCCAGATATTCTATTTTAGATTCAAATCGAACGGAATTATTAAAATTGTTGTTGACATGTTTTAGTGAGACTATGTATAATCCTCCAATGGATTTGTCAATTACACCAAATAAATGGATTCAACGCTTGACAAGTGCTGAAAATAGGTACAATATTTAAATATTATGATATTAAAAAGATCTGTTATATATATAATTTTAATGGAAAACTTATCTTTATAATAACTTTTCTTTTATAGGCATGCATTGCCCATGTTCACATCACTCTTAAATACAGTATGCGCTTATGATCCAGTTGGACTTGGAGTACCTTACAATCATCTTTTATTTACTGATTCATTGGAGCCATTAGTAGACGTTGCTTTACAGATTCTAATAGTTACTTTAGATCATGATACGTCTGGTGAGATTCCAACAGAAGAGAGATCTCTAGGAGATAATCTTTTTATTAATTATCTCAGTCGCATTCATCGTGATGAAGGTAGTTATTATGAATTGTCCTATATACTTATTTTTTATAAGATTTTTTTTATCTTTTATCTTTTTAAATAATTTTTTTTATAAATATTATATTTATATCTTATTATTACCTTCTTACAGATTTTCAATTTGTGTTAAAAGGAATCACTAGATTATTAAATAATCCATTAATGCAAACTTATCTGCCTAATTCAACAAAAAAAGTACATTTCCATCAAGAATTATTAGTATTTTTTTGGAAGATGTGTGATTATAATAAAAAATTTTTATACTATGTACTTAAAAGTTCAGATGTACTTGAGGTATTAGTTCCCATACTTTATCATCTCAATGATTCACGTGCAGATCAATGTAAATATTAATAACAACTATTACGTGTTAAATTATTAATATTGTTAATCTGCAGCTAATAATATCTTATATTATAGCACGTGTTGGGTTGATGCACATAGGTGTATTTATTTTGCTTCTGTTAAGTGGAGAACGTAACTTCGGAGTTCGATTGAATAAACCGTATACTGCTACAGTACCTATGGATATTCCAGTTTTTACAGGTAAAAAACTTTAATCTACATTTTTAAAATTAAAAAATTTATTACAGAAGTAATAGAAATTGTTTAATATTTTTTTAAATATTCTTTTCTTTATATAGGCACTCATGCTGATCTACTAGTGACAGTTTTTCATAAGATTATCACAACAGGACATCAAAGATTGCAACCCTTGTTTGATTGTCTTCTTACAATTTTAGTCAATGTTTCTCCTTATCTTAAAACTCTTTCAATGGTGGCCAGCACTAAATTGTTACATTTACTTGAAGCATTTAGTACACCATGGTTCTTATTTTCGGCGCCTACTAATCATCATTTAGTATTTTTTCTTTTAGAAATTTTTAATAATATAATTCAGGTAGTTTTTTTTATATATATTATACAAAAGAATTTTTCCTACGTTTTTAATTTTAATAATTCAGTTATTATTTGTATTACCACTAGTATCAATTTGATGGAAATAGTAATTTGGTATATACAATAATACGTAAGAGACAAGTATTCTATGCATTAGCAAATTTACCAAGTGATTGCAACACGATTGCTAAGTCTCTTAGTAAAAGACAACAGCGACATGTACCAACAAGTACATATAATGAAAATACTAGTGAAACTGCAATGGAAGGATCCCATCCTGCTCAGCCTGCAGAACCAGGAACTTTAAAAGCTTCTTTATTAGAGACACCAGGTAATACTAATTAGCGAGAAAGTATATAAGTAAAAGTGCCAATACTCATATCTGTTTTTAATCTTTGCAGGTATAGAAAAGATGACAGAAAAAGAATCAGCACATCCATTAAGTCCTTCAGTGAATGTTGATATTGGAAAAACTAATAATCTTCAGAATTCCTTGGATAATGCAACTGATACAGCTACATCAAATAAACAAAATTCTATAATACCAGTATGAATAGTAATTTTTATATTTTCATATAAATATTTATACACATTGATCTATAATATAAATTATTTTCACATTCAGAAAGGAGGAATCAGAGTAGCTGAACAAACAAATATATCTAACAATACCAATCAGTGGGTTCCTTCTAGTGAATGGGTTTACCAATGGAAAAGTAAACTTCCATTACAAACTATTATGCGATTATTGCAAGTTCTTGTTCCTCAAGTAGAAAAAATATGTATTGACAAGTATGTATTTATTGATATTAATATTTTCTATAATATTTAATTGTAAGCGCCGTATTAAGTAACCAGTCTTCACAGGGGATTAACAGACGAGAGTGAAATTTTAAAATTTTTACAACATGGTACATTGGTAGGTCTTTTGCCAGTTCCACATCCAATTCTCATTAGAAGATATCAAGCTAACGCTGGAACAACTGCTTGGTTTAGAACTTATATGTGGGGAGTTATATATCTTAGAAATGTTGAACCACCCATTTGGTATGATACAGATGTCAAATTATTTGAAATACAAAGAGTTTAAACATATTAATGCGTGTAAAGATATAAATCAGTTTATAGTAATTAGCAGTTTACATTATCATTTACATAAAATATTTATACTGCAAATATAGTATAAACGAATCACTGCTACAACTTAAAATTAATTTATTCAATGCAGTTTTAATTTTGATCGTATTATACGAATGATAACAGTAAATGTAAACATTTTTATAGATATAAGATTTATTAACAGAAAGAGAAGAGGTGCAAATATTTTCTTATGAAATTGTATCAACCTAGCATTTTGTCTTAATGTAATTTATTATAATATTCGTCATTATTTACTTGTTTATATAATCATGTACATTGACGGATATGTTTATTTTATTTGCCTCGTTTACTTAAGAACACATTGATGCTTTTAATAAAATGATAAATTAATATATTAATACTAAATTAGGTATCTTTATATAAAATTATATGTTCGTCTTTATATTCAATGTTTCATATACTTTATTACAATATATATATATATATATATATATATATTTATATATAAATAAGATTAACTATTGCTTTGGATGAAAAAGTAAATACCACGTGAGTGTATGATATATCAATTAAAAATAAAATATCTATAAATCATACACATATTATGTACTATTCTTCTGATTTATTATCAGTTTTGTTCTGATCTTCATGTGCTGATGTATAATTGAGTTTTTCCAATGCCTGGTTATAAGCTTCCTCCTCAGATAAATTAAGCTATAAGAAAAATTTTGTTATATAAATTCAAATGTTATAATAATTATTATTTTTATTTATAGTAATACAAAGATTTATATTACCTTTAGCAATTCATTATATGTATCAAGGAATTTCCTTGTTTGTGATAGATACTTTGTATTTTTTAAATTCATTATTTCTAGATTCTTGCAATCATTATGAAATCGTCTATAAAGTAGAAATATTTCATATTATACCAGAAATAAGGGATTTTAATGAATTTTTTATCATTGTACAATTTCTTACGCTCGTATAATATCTTCTTTGTAATAGATTGGTTTTATTTCTGTTTTTGGGACAACCCTATCATATTTGGGTTCATATTTTGGCGGAAATGCTTCATATATCATATACCACAGTGGTTTATCTGATTCAGACATTGCACCTCCACGTATTAATGATGATACTCTTTAACAATAATAATAATAAACAAAAATTTATGAATAAAACATAATTGATTTATAACAATATTTGGGAATTTACCTTGTATAAATAGTTCCAACCTTTTCTACTCTTGTTTGAGCCATTATGGTTAATAATTTAATATGTTAATACTTAAAGATTTAATACAATATCCTATAAATAATAAACATAAGGGCACTCTTATGTTAAAGAGTATTTTTATGCATATATGCACATACAAGCTTCTGAGAAAATGTTAGGTTAAATCATTATGCATCATGTGCAGAAGCATTTCCTAGTATTATATGCGGGACAAGGTAACCAATAGGAGCATAGCTTTTCTTCTATCGCTAAAATTTATAGGTTAATTCAAGTCTCAAAGAGAAATTCGTGTTAGTATGAACTCGTGTCACATGTAGAACCAAATTTTTTAATTAAATTTGTAAGTAAATATATAAAATTTTATTAACTTATGGCAGATGATTAAATATTTTATCTTTTCTTATTACAGAACATTTCAACAGTATATTAATTAATTGAAGAAAGATGCCGTATATTGATGAAAAAAAGATAGAGGCTATAGGTGACATATTAAATGATGAAAACAGACCACTTAAGGAAAGATTTCGTGCACTATTTACTTTGAAAAATATTGGAGGTTCAATAGCTATCGAACAAATACGTAAAGGCTTTAAAGATAAATCTGCATTATTAAAACATGAGCTTGCATATTGTCTTGGTCAAATGCAAGATCCTTTAGCGATATCTATTTTAATTGAAGTATTAAAAGATGATATGCAGGAACCTATGGTCCGTCATGAAGCAGGTACATAGTTTTATTAATACAAATTAATATCTAATGTAATATATAATTAGTATTTTACTAATAAAAAAAAACATAACTGTTTTTTAATTTTATTATTTTTGTTCTTGGATAATCAGGAGAAGCATTGGGTGCTATTGGAGATACATCTGTTATACCACTGTTAGATGAATATAGTAAAAGTCCCATACCTGAAATTGCAGAAACCTGTGAATTAGCTTTAGAACGTCTTAAATGGTTACAGTCAAATAATTGTGAAAAAGATGTATTAAAAAGTCCATATATGTCTATTGATCCTACTCCACCAGCTGAAACTAATGATGTTCGTAGTCTAAAAGTAACATTACTCGATGAAAATAAATCATTATTTGATAGATATCGTGCAATGTTTGCTTTAAGAAATCTGCGAACACCAGAGAGCATCATTGCTCTCTGTGAAGGTAAAAAGATTAAATACACTTTTACGTCATAAAATACCTATTTTTTTATAAATTATTCTATAATATTAAACTTTTTCTTTGCAGGTTTAAAAGCAGGCAGTGCCTTATTTAGACACGAAATTGCATTTGTTCTTGGTCAACTCCAAGAAGAAATTTCTATACCTTATTTAAAAGCTTCTCTGGAAGATAAAGAAGAAAATGAAATGGTTCGTCATGAATGTGCAGAAGCATTAGGAGCAATTGCTACTCCTGATTGTCTCCAAATTTTAAATCAATACCTTCAAGATAGCAAGCAGGTTGTCAAAGAGAGTTGTGTTATCGCTCTAGATATGTGTGAATATGAAAACAGTTTAGAATTTCAATATGCTAATACACTAACCAAAGTTGAAGCATAGAACATGATTGATATAAAAAAAAAAAACATGATTGATATTCTTTTATCTTCTGGATAAATGCTTAACATTGCAAAAAGATTCATATTACATAAATGACAAGTTAAACGTTTGTTTTAACATATTTTGTACTTATGTAAATAATGAGGATTTATATTTTAACACTAAACCTACCACGACGGGTCAAATGATCCTTTTTAAACTTTAGGGCAAAATTTTTTACAAGATATAATTCTATTTTGTAAGTTAACATCATAATATATATGATTTTTTAAACCCGTGTGGTAGAAATAGATATACATACAGCATTAGTACGTTTAGTGTTAATGTAATAAAGAGATATGATGATTCATACGTAGCAAATAAATGAAAGGAAGAGTATATTAGTATAAAAAGTTTCATATAAAATAAAAATACGTAAATGCTAAGAATTAAGGAACATCAAAGGTTATGCAACAATTTGCTACTATATATAAATATATTATGAATTTAATGTTTAAGAATTACTACAATAAATCCTTACGAAGTGAATATCTATTATCGTATTTGCAATGATTTATAAAGATATAACATTGACTACACAAAAGATTTAGAAGTTTGTAATATTTATTATTAATAATAGAAATATTAATAATAGAGTTAAATAAATGATATAATAAGATGATAAATTTAACGAAATATTATGAAAAAAATGTATGAATTAAAACAAGTATATAACAAAAATGAGACGAAAAGGTAAGTTCTCATGTGATTTAGCAGAATAAAAATCTATAAAATAATATTATAGCAACAGAGAGATTCTATTATACTATCTTAGCGTGAAAGCATTCCTTCAAATATTAGCAATTTAAATTGAATAAGCAGACTCTCAATGGACTACTCGTTGATGTATTGGTTCAACAAATAACGTTATTAGGAATATTGAAGAATGATGTGATCAAATATGGGAATAGATAGATATCTTCTATCTAAAGATGAAAAATAATATCTTATAGTGTTAATTTATCCAATTGTATATTATACCTAACGTAATTACGGTAATATCGCGAAACGTGTTAATTGTTCTATATCGTTATATGTATTCATTTGTTACATAGTTCTAATCTAAAGAAAAAAAAAAATAATAGAGAACAAAAGGCACGAGAAAAAATACATTATGCATAAAAGAAAAAGACTCTGTTCCTTGTTGGTGGGAGAGTAGTATGAGAACCTTGTGAGGGATAATATGCAGAAGGCGGGCCATGGTTGAACGGACCTATACCAGTGAAAGAGTACCACCTATTTATAACGAAAGAACATTATCTTGTGGTTTAGCCATTTTAGAGATCAAGCGAATTGAATGAAAGTACGCCGTCGCGTGGCACGTGATATATCATAGAAAATTATATAAAGACTTGTGTGATACGAATGAAGCGTTTAGTCTGTTGCTATCTCTGATACGGAATAGTTACGTACAGATCCTCGATCGATAGATTACAGTCTGCGGTAAAATTTCAATATCAATTTTTTTCAAACTCGAATATTCATACTTTGATCAAAATCCTTCAAGGAATACAAAAATTCACACGAATTAGTTTGATTATATTAACGGTTTCGATCAAACATTTTATTTTGTTTTTATTTAGAACAAAGAGAGAAAAAAAAGAAATTGACCAAGACGTTTTTATAAGAAAAGAAAAGAAAAATACTCGTAATACTGTTATAAATTTAATATAAAATAATGGCGTCTTATAAAAATATGTTCGGATTATGGTCTAATGATTCGAAACTTGACGAAAAACTTGGACTCACGGAAGGACAAAAAAAACTTGTACAAAATACTTGGGCTATTGTAAAGAAAGATCAAGTTGCATCCGGTGTTGCCGTCATGTTGGCGTAAGTATTTTTTTTTCTTTACTTTTCTTTCTTTCCTTCTCTCTTTTTCTTGTTTAATTCTTTCACATTATTATACTTGAATATTTGTATATAATGCGCGCGCTTAATGATTACAAAATTTGAACAAAATGATTAAGTTAATATTATTTTGACATAAAGTTATCGCAATGATAATGTACAGTTAAATTTCAAATGAAAATGATAAAAATTGCTCTTGGAATATATTTAAAAAAATAAAATATTATCATTTGTTTCGTTATCGCATGTTGTTATTATTAATAAACGTATAAATAAGTGAAACATTCATATCGCTGATTTGAAACATTTATCGTTCTAACAACGGCGCGCGTTAACGAATATATCGATTTTTAACAAGAAAATCGATCTCAATCGACCCACGTGCGTTTATTTGATTAAAATATTACCATTTGAAATGAAACGACAAAAGTTTATAATATTAAATTTTAAAATTGCATCATAAATATGCGTCATATCTTTGCCAAAAATTTATCTCCTTTTAATTTCAAATTCAACATTTTATTACGTGGTTTGTTTAAATTGTAAATAGTTGCGTAATTATCCGAAAATCAAAGTTCAAGATCTTATATAAATACTTCTTAACTTATCAAGATATTTTAAAGTTATCGTAAATTTTAGATAATTTTTCTTATCAAAATAATCCACGCGAAGTGGACATACACATGGATAAGAAAATAAAGATCAATCGATATTAAATACCAAACATAATTATGCATATACTATATATATATATATATATATAATTAGATGTGATATATCCTTAGACAGATCAACACCTGCAATAATCTTTATTCACGATTATGATAATGTATTTTGAATTTAATACGCTGCACGCATATTCCTGCGATTATAAATTAATAAATAATACATTACGAAGCTAAGCACGTTTATAATTTTACATGAACGCAAGAAGACTATTTTATCAATGACCGATGCCAACACTTCATATTTATTAATGCGATCAATGTTATAAATATTAATTAATAATTTTTATATGAGAAAATAATAATAATAATAAATATAATAATAATAGAATTTAATTAGCGAAATGTAATAACAAATTTTACATCCGTGCTGCTCGTTTTCGAACAAATCCATCGTTTCGAACAAATTGCAAATTGCAAATTGGAGCAAACTGCATCCATAAATGCAAATGTCATCGATTTTATTTCACATTATATTTTGCTTACAGTTATTTTAAGAAACATCCGGAACATCAGCAAAGTTTTAAACCATTCAAAGATATGCCAATAGATCAGTTACCTAGCAATAAAAGATTTCAAGCTCATTGCGCGGGTATAATAGCTACCATAAGTACCGTTATAGATTCTTTGCAAGATTTTGATTTATTGGTAGCAAACATAGAAATTTTTACCGAAAGACACAGAAAACGTGGTCAGACACCAAAGGAATTTGAGGTATATATATCGTGTTATAACATTTTTTTTTATTAGAAAATTATTATTAATAAAAACAAAAAAAAATCGATCAAATTTTGTTGTCGCATTTGTGTAAGTAATATTTTAATTGTTCAGGATTTAAAACCGGTAATGGTGGAAATTCTTCGAGAAGCTATAGGAACCGAGTACACGCCAGAAGTGGAAGAAGCATGGGCTAAAACACTGGACGTTTTCTTTGCAACAATATACGCTAATTTGGGTTAAAAAGAAATGTTTCTTTTGAAAAAAAATCTCTCAAAAGTATATTACTAATATAAAAAAAAAGCATTACATTCCTTGCATGCGTTTTATGAAAGTTTATATATTTAACAAAACATATATATATATATATTATTTTAAAATTAACATCTATTGGGGTTTAACTTTTAAAACAAGATGAATAGTTATTTAAAAAATCATATTTATTAACTTCCTTTATCCATTTTCTGTTGCATTTTTCAAATATAAAATTACATTATTTTATCTCTGATCAGTCATTGATGCCTATAAATTAGATATAATAATCTGTAACATCGATTAATTATAAAAACAATAAAAGATTATTCATCTAATTGTAAGTTCAGCTATAAGATTACTACTATCGCTTATTTTACAGTCTGCTATTAGTTAAAGTTAAGAAAAACTCATAAATTTTCATGCAATCCATAAATCATATTTATGTATAAGGAAAACTGTATAAAATTTGAAATAAATTAGTTTTCTTGTGCTTATTACATTGATTATACAAAGCAGTGTTAAAGATGCTGTATAAAGCATTAAATAATTGTATAGTTATTATACACTGCATAATGATCTGATCATTTCATAATTATTAGCGATGATTTTACAATAATTTACAAGACCAATGTATAAATTGAATATTACGAGATCGTTTCTTGTTTCTTAAGAACACATTGAGCGCTTAGTAATAGTAAATATCATATCATTACAATCTATTCATTATTTTTTACATTTTTTCAAGTTATCATAATAAAAAAAACTTAAGAGAAAGTCTAGAATATTAAAAAAATTTCCTGAAATAGATGATAAATAATCCATTACAGATATATTAAGAAGACTTTACTGTAGAAAATGAGCAAATCATAATAACAATAAATTTGGAATCGTTTGCTATTCATCAAATAATCTCAGGAACTTTTCCAACAAATTAATATATCATATCACAGTGTAACAATCAGACATTCAATTAGATTTTGTATGTAGCAATTGTGTCTGTACAATCATGTATCACAAAAGTTATGTATTCATAATTTTTTACTATTTCTGCAAACAGTAGTTTGCGGGAGACATTAGTACACCCATACCTCTTAGATTGTGCATACATACATAAAGCTATTTTGTATGCATTGTTGAGAAATCATAGCAAACAACAAGTAGATACACTCAACTTGTGAAAGTTCATTTTTCTTCCTAAAAATACCATAATATTTAATGGTTCTTCGTATGTTTATTCATTCAATACCATGGGCAAAAATCATTACTAAACCAGGTTCAATAATCATGTCTTCTGGCATGTGCGTATTATCGCAATGGAGGACTAAAACAGCCTGCTTTCCAGGCACTCTCTTGCATATGTAATACTCATATTGTCTTCTGGAATTTTGTCTAGTTTCTAAAGAATTTAAACCCGATGGCCATTTTCTTTCATGACAATTTTCCATGAGTTCATCAATGATATGAGGCGGACAATTATTTTCTGACAATGTTCTTTTCACCATTATCTAGAAGATTTATAATATATGTTTTAAAATCGTTATATAACTCAAAGTAGTTCAAATAAATCCTATGTTAAATATAAAATACCTGCAACGATTCATCCGGGGTTGAGATCATCCCTCCCCATCTGGTAACTCTAGCACGAGGAAGAGTCGCAGACCATCTTACAACTTCGTCTCTTTCCATTTGATCGGCAATAGCTCTCATTGCTGGATTCGATATTCTTAATGCTCTCATAAAATCTTTTAATAAGTGTATCTCTCGCTTATGTTCATTTATTTGAAGTTGTTGTTCCCCTAGTTCTCGTTTCATATCAGTTAGCTTTTGCTGTTGAGACTGGATTAAATTTCTAAGTTCTCTTACGCAATTGTGATCTTTTAATTCATCTTTTGGAATGATGAGACTACAACCTTGTTCGCATAACATTGGTCTCTTAGGGTTATATTCGCATTGTTCCAAATGTGATACTAAACTGTCCAACTTGATGCTTACTTGACATCCATACACGATATTATCACAAGTAATACATAAGCGAGCCAATAAGTTTCTAAGAATTCTTGGTACTGTTCTCAGTTGTGCAGAGGTAATGGGAGTACGATCCAAAGGACACGTTGGTTGTCTGTTAATCCATTCGTTGATACATGAACGACAGAAGGCATGTTCGCATACAGGAGCCTGTAACATATTCCTCACCTGCCAATCCTCATAAGCTTATAAGACTATTCTGCAAAACTGCAAAACTTCATTGAAAATAGTAACAATAAAATAATCATCGTTTTGAAATGTGAATTACATTTAACTAACGTCACGATAATTTACCATAAAAGAAAAGAGTGGAATAGGCGGAACCCAAAAAAAGTTACTCACAAATGAAATAAATTGAATGAAACGATTGTAAATTAAACATCATAGACAATGAACAACGGTTTACTCGATAATAATAAATACAACAAACAAAATCTAGCGTTACAGAGCAAATGAATAAATAATAATTGTACACATATAAAGCGAGGTTAGTCTTGGCAGTTCGCAATTAGATACATTTAATAAAAAGATTGAAATAATTTGTAAGATAAATTCTGACAATACCTGAACGGGATCCTCAAGAACACCGGAACAGATCGGACAAACGAGTTCCTCGTCCACTTCTCCTTGAAAACGGTTCACATCGAACCCCATAACGTGGAACTTTGTGCCTTATTAATTAACTAAATGCAACACCTTTTCCGTTACTTCGTTCGGTATTTTGCATAAAACCGGACAAAGATCGTTCGGTACCCTTCGAAGTTTGGTTTCGATGGCACAGATCGACGAGAAAGCTCAAATATACAATATATGTATATACATATACATGTTCATATACATATATGTATGCGTTATATACCGTTACTTTTCAAGAGGTGAGGTGAGACACGCTCTACGTTTGCAAATATTTTTTACGAGAATTATTTGACAATTAAGAGTGATCGCGTTACTATCGAAATGTGAAGAAGGATTGCGATGACACCATACAAGTGTGCATACATAGGACAGTACAAGTTGTGGATCTACGATATAAGCGTACGCTTATGAATTACTTTTGATATGCAATCTTTAATCAGGAATAGTGCGACATTTTGCTTTTAAATTTAATTTATTTACGATTAAAAATCTCGATTATCGAAAACTCATCATATTCTTTCATACATCGATTTAATTACGATTCTTAATCGCGAGAAAAATTTTACATAGTGCGCCCTTATGTCTATATAACTTTTTCTATAATTAAATTATTTTATATAAAAAAAAATAAATAAAATAAAAATAAGTTTAACATCGTGACAATTGAATTGATTAGTTTATATTTTATTATAGAATATTCGTAACGTCACAAAATTGATATTAATATTATTTTATTCTTTATTCAAGTAACCTATTTAAAATTTGTATTTTAATGTCGATTACATCGAAGATATTTAATTATTATTAATATAAAGCTTATAATTATTTAATTTGACATTTTATTAGAGTAAAGTAGCAAGCTCGATCGAACGAATACTCTGGATGTGCATTTATAAGAATAATTTGGGTCACAAAAAATGAAAGCATTTAGTTCGTGAAAGTGAGGGCGCTGCATTAAGCAGTTACCTTCAGTTTGCTAGTTATATCTATTCATTGACATCTAGTTCTTGTCAGTAGTAATATTTTTTTAAAGTGATTTTCCATTTGTTTTTATTTTTGTCAGTTCTTTATTGTCCTATTTATATTACAATGTAATATCTCGTGTTTTTGTGTCTTATTAATTGACTAAATACACGCAAGACATTGGGTACAAAAATATTCGATTTCTTTTTTATAGTTTATTAAATCAAAGTAATATAATAAAACTGCTAATTTAATAAAAAAATAAATTATGGCAGCGAATTATTATTTTGCTATTATTGGTTATGAAGACAATCCATTATTTGAAATAGAATTTAACAATTCTAGTAAGGATGCTAAGGTTTGTTTATTATACCAATATAGATTGATATTTATATTAGATTATATTCAGTAATGGAAAAAATTATTTGATCTTATTAACAAATCACTGTTTAAATAGAAAGAAGATCATACACATTTGAGTCAATTCATAGCTCATGCAGCACTTGATCTTGTCGATGAGCATACATGGAAAACAACAAATATGCATTTTAAAGTTGTAGATAAATTTAATCAATGGTTTGTAAGTGCATTTGTAACAGCAACACATATACGATTCGTTATGGTACATGATAGTAAAAACGAAGATGGAATTAAAAATTTTTTTAATGAAATGTATGAGACATACATAAAGGTAATATGCAACAATTTATGCATTCTTAACCCTTTCGATACTACCGGTGATTATTATATTCATTTAACGTTTGGTACTTGTAGTGCATTATCAATAACTATTGTTACTCTGTTATCTAATCAAATCTTAGCTGTATCGGAAGGGTTAACAGTCTTTCATTGAATTATTAAATTGTTATTTGTTTCAGTATTCCATGAATCCTTTTTATAAATTAAATACACCTATAAAATCTGTTGGTTTTGAAAAAAAGGCACAGTTATATGGCAGAAAATATTTATCTTCGTAATAAATTTCATTAAATATTATAATAATCCATTTCTTCTTATTTTTAAATTATATTATTTAAATACTATATACATTTTTTTGATTTAATACTATTTAGGAATCCTCAACATTCGAACGAACAATAACTGTTCATTTTTATTCCAATTCCAAGTCTTGAATCTAAAATTTAGTGTAATATTATACATTACAAATGATTATTCTAAGCAAATCTTAAAAAAAAAGGAAAAATTATTTTTCCAAATATAACACAAATTAAATAATAGTTCATCTAGGATATAAACATTATGAATAATATAATTATTAATTACCTCGTGCACTTTCTGCATTTCTTGAGTTAACAAATTATCCAATATTTCTTGAAATCTCTGTCTAAGTTTAACATTCTCTATATTCGCAATTTCAATCTCTTGCTGCTGTCTTCGTTGGCGCAGTTCTCCTAATTCAGCATGAAGCGTGGCAAGTCTCGTTTGTAATGAATCTAAAATAATATATAAATCAGATTATGGAGCTAATATTTTTTTTTTAAAACATAATTACCTTTAGGCATCGAAATAGATGGAGATTCCGAAAAATCGTCAGGAATAATATATTCTGAATGAAACTGTTCTAATTTTGGAACTTTAAGTTCTGCTGTGTCTGTCGGTTTTTCTCCATCAGCTTCGGAATTGTTTTCATTTTGGAACATTTCTTTACTAAATTCTGTTACAAGGCCACAACTCGTAGTTGCATTATTACTCGATCGTTCAGAGTATGCAGCCTGCATGGAATTAGAATCAGTTGCCCTGCTATCACCTGACAGCCTACTATTTTCATCTAGTTCCATAACATTAATGTTTGCTTCTTCATCATCATCTTCGCTATCACTCACAGGTTCACCAAATATATCATGTTCAGCTATTAACATAAAATAAACATATAATATAATTATATTGATTAAATTGATGATGGAGTTATATACTATCCACAGAATACTTACCGACATCTAAACTTTGTGATGTGTTACCATTATTATTATCCCTTCTAGATTTAACAGTTCCAGATGATGATACTTTACTTGGCTTAGATTGGTCCTCATCTTCGCATATCACTTCCCATTTAACATTGACTGCTTCATTATCAACTCTTAATAATCTTTTTACTTCTTTCTCTATTTCTGGTGCTTCTACATACTTTTTCTTTAAAGTTTTTCTGAATCTTCTACGTCTTACATTCTTTGTAGGTGGTGTTACACCATGTGGCCATAAAAATTTCTTATCAACCTTGTTAGGATCTTTTTTCTTTTGTCTCATAGGTGATTCTTCATCTGTAGTAGTATGATCATCCTCTTCTTTGCATATTAACATCTATTTATAATAACAATAATATTAATACATTACTTATTCATTTTATTTCCTTAATATTATTATATTACCTGACATATGTCTGCTGTTTTATAAAAACTTTTATTATCGATAGTTTTTAAAGATTCTACAATGGTAGGCAAATCAACCACCTAAAACATGAAAAGAATAATTTTGTTGTTAAGAATTATCGAGAGGGAAAAAACATTTTTGGAATAATAATTAAAAGGAAAGTAATAAATACCTTAGCATGCAGTAACCAATGATCTAATCTTACTTCGCCATATCGCATATCATTTTCTAATTTAATACTAAGTCTATCTTTTATGGGAGCTCCACTTCTCAATGTTTCTCTTAAGACTTTCGCTGAATCCTATAATAAATTAATAAATAATATAATTGTATACACAAATTTGTGTGTAAAGGATTTAAGTAAATAAGAATATTTTAAGGTTATAAATTAGAATAAAACATACCGGGGGTAATCTTAAGATAAATTGACTTTCTAATTCTGCTTGCGGCTCTCCACGACTTTTATGATCAGGAGGTGGGTGTCGATTCATTTTGGTTTCACAATTATAATATGAAATTAAAATAGTTTAAACTATGCACTCGGAGCATATAACTGCTATTAAGTTTTAGCGTTAGTTTTCATTTGTTTTTAAGTGACAGAGGGAGCGATATGTCATACTTGAGTATGGAGAGGAGAAATTGCTGAGTGCATGCCTGCAGTCTTGCGGGACATTTTGAAATATATATAAAGTAAGAATATACAGAAATTAAAAGTTTGAAATTAAAGAATTTAAAATTGTAGAGTTACAGTTTTATACATGTCTAATATAGTATATAAAAAGTGATTCTATCATGGTCTGACAACTGGCAAGCAGAGTGACATGAGTCTAACATTTTTTCAAAAAATTCCCTCTCAAAATTACACGCCAGACGCATGCGCAAAAATCCAAATGGTGCAACAATGGGAATTTTGCGGACTGAAAGTTACCATTTCAACTTTGATAGGGATATTTTACTCGCTATTTTTTTTCTTATGCAATTAAGATTAGTTATTAATTTACTTGTTATAGTAAAAAATGTGTTTATAGAATTCAAAGATAATGTAGATCAATCCATAGATAAAAATGTTTAATGATTCGGCATTTTTTTTACAAAAATATTAACAATTAATAATATATATTAATAAGATATATTTTAAGTATAGAAAAAAATTATAGTATGTTAGAATTAATGGAATATACGTTGCCACTTCTTATTTCAAATCATTTATGAATAATATAATAAAGAAGAAAAAACTTCATAAATCATAATACTATATCCACAAGCAAAAGACAAAATTCTAGCAGGTTGTTGTGCAAAAATAGAATAAGATAAGGTGTGTAGAATTCTAGAAATCACAAAGCTTTTGATTAACATTCCAGCTAACCAAGGTGATGGATCTGTTGTTAGCCAAATATAGGTGATTATAAACCAAGGGAGGATATTTTCAAGGTCATTTCGATGATTTCTGCGTACACGTTCTATATCAGGATCATCAAATGCCACTTTAGAATTTTTTGCGAATTTCATATCTTCGGGATTTAGGAAGATCTTAAAAATAATTGAAATATAATTCTTTCTTATAATAGTATTCCTTATAATAATATAAAATCATGATAAAATTAAAAATTAATTAGACAATCGTTTTTACAATACCTGTTTTTTAAATCTATAATGAGCAGTTAGGGGCATCATTGCTAGCATTTTTAAAACTAATACACTACTCCAAAATACAAATACTTTCATAATTTCTGTATTTACTGCCATGATGTTTAAATATTTCTTTTATATTAGTTAAGATATGTTAAAACGTTCAAGAACAATATTAGACTGAATAAGAGATACGTGCATACGAACTCATAAATATCACGTCTACCACATCTATAAAAACGTTGATTATATCTATATATTATTCAACACTTCAAAAATACATCTCATCGAGTAATTACATTGCAGCAATGTGAATATTTAATGCTATGAGTTTGCAACTTTTATGAGAACCTTGAGAAAAAATATGAGCTGAAACTTAATTGTATCAGTGAAATATTTTTATTAATACTTATTTTATTTCGTATAGTTATTTCGTATAGTTATTTCTTAAATAATTTTTTAGGAGAAAGATAAAATGTGAGATTTTTTTTTAATGGTCTTATCAATTAGTTATAATCATGTTTCACACTTGCTTGAATATTATTTTATTTGGATATGTATAAATATTTAAATGCGGAAGTATCTAGAAATATTTAAATGTAAAAGTATCTAGAATCGGTTACTACGGATTGGAATAAACAACCAATGAGAACAATACTTTTAAGTATAAACAAGAGTTCCATTTATTTATTTAAAAAAAAAATCAGATAAAGAAATAATATTTCTTTCTTTCTTACAATAAATTGAAATATTCTAGCATTTCTAATCGCTAATTGAAATATTTATTATTAAATGAATATTCACCTTTTTCGATAAGACGAACAACGAATAGATTTTTAATTGGTTCAAAATACTAAGCCTTTCTAAAGGACAATTTTGATTAGCGCAATCGTTAAAGACGCGCTACATTTGAACTTTCCTAGATAAATGTCAATAATCAACTACAGAAAAAAGTGATTGATGCTTGGGAATAAGATAAATTTGATTACGTAGTCAAAAGGAAGAGTTTATAAAAGTAATGTAAAAAAATGGATAAAAAGAAAGTTGAAATATCGTTAATCAGGAAGATATAGAAAACAAAGGTATGCGCCATTTTAATGGGTTTCGATAAGACGCATGCGCATGATAAGAACGACGCTGACGCAGAAGGTACGTCAGCTGTTTTGTTAGAACCGTAGTGCATGTGACGGGAATGGTGTATTGTTGACTGCAGGGGCATTTAGCAGATCGTAAATTGGATCGTATCCCTTTGTTTATTTGCCGCGAATTCGAAATTGATATTGGACTTATTAGAGCCCCCGTTATTAAGTGAAATACTTTTGGTAGTAAACTCGCGGTAGGTAAAAAGGCGTTAGTGGTAAAGTAACACCTCACGATTCTGTCGGTTGGTTTGAACTCGTCGGCCGAATTGATTCTTCGAGAGAACGGAGTTGTGAGTTCGCAAAGGCAGTCGGTACGATCACGTCACTGTTCTGGCGACCACTCTGGGAAGCTTTCGAGACTTTCGTCTTTCTGGAACGGACTGCGGTTGTGATTCCAGAGTCGAAAAATATGGCACAACCAACGAGCAGCGCATTACGAGCCCTTGCCCTAGAATACAAAAGTCTTCAAGAGGAACCTGTCGAAGGTTTCCGCGTTAAACTCGTTAACGAGGACAACATGTTCGAGTGGGAAGTAGCGATTTTCGGTCCTCCAGACACGCTTTATCAAGGAGGCTATTTTAAGGTGAGTAATCTTCATGCTGCTTATGTTATGCGATTTCTATTTAGTACATTTTTTGCCATCTATTTATAAGTACTCTAAGCCCCCAAATTTTAAACTGATATGTCAGAAAACATTCAATTCTCATTTCTTGGTTATGTTTCATCGACTTATCTCCAAGTGCACCTGTCACGTTCTTTCCGGACAGTAAATTTCCTAAATTCGGAGCGATACGTCAAAAAAAAAAACATTCGATTCTGACTTTTTGGTTATGTTTCACTGACTTATCTTTAAATGCATCTTTCATGATCTTTTCTTCGTGTTTTTATCGACTCAATTCGTAAACATACGTCCTTCGAAAACCACAATCCTAACTTTTTATCTACCCCATTATTTTTATCAACATATAAATCTATTTGGTCACATTTTATAATAATCCATTGCATCGGTTTAAATCGCATAGAACATAAACAGTGTTAGTACTGTATTTACTAATATGTATCCATTTAACAATTGTACTTTTTAAAATATCAATCAAAACAAATAGTAATCATCCCCCAAAGTATAAAACATCATTAAATAAAAGTTTATGCACTGTGTAATGGAAAAAAACTTCATCTAGCTTTTGTTCTTTTATGTAAAAAATAACAGTATATTTAAACCTTTAATGATATTCTTGTCATATCTATTGCTACTTAACTCTTGGCAACTTGCAAGTGCATAAATTAAAACAGAACAGTTAACTTTTTTGCAGAACTATATTATTTCTTATGAATTTTCTTTTTTTTTATTTGAAAACAATATATCTACCCAAGCTATAGCAACGGATATTATGAATTGTTAAAAAACATGTTCTGTGCCTACCAATGATATTATTTTGTAATGTATAATTAATATTTTCTATCTAGAATTGTGTAAATAAAATCATTTATATCGTTGTATATACATATCTATATTCATATCATAATGCTTTTTGTTTCTTAGCATTCATTGGAATATTTATACTATTATAAAACTGTATCATTGAGACGACCAAAGGTTCCATAAGGAAACATTTACGTAGCCTTGACAAAATCAAAAAGAGCAAAAACGGCACAACGGAGAATGACGATTACGATTATCGCATTATTTTTCTTTCATTTTGACAATTTAGATTTTACGAGGGAGATAAGATTGCACATGGTTTCTTCTTTATCGTGTCCTTTAAGAAATATACTTTGCAAGTTTTATTTATTACCAAGTTTAAATATATTCAAACTAAATATTGGAAATTATTGGACGATAGTGTAAAGCAAAATAGTGTGGAGAGGGGGGGGGAGGGTTTGTCATTCTCTATCTCTATCTATCTCCCCTTCTTCTTCTTCTTCTTCTTTGTTTTTCTCTTTTAGATGTCTAATTTATAAACATGAAACGAACGTCGCTTTAATTCTCAAACTCGTTGAGCAATCTTACTGAGCCCCAAAGATTACCTAACACGGCGAATCAAGCGACCTGCATTTCTTAGCAGATATTAATTCTTCGATCGAGATGCAAGATTCCGTATCGGATAGACAGCTGAAAGTATTTGCGTTTAAACCTACAACGACGACGACGACGACGGCATGTTGCATTTAACGTTCATGTTAATCGTTTTTCGCGATCGAACGAGTTTCATGTCAATAATATTAACCAATGTCTCTATTCGTATTGTATCTTCGACATTGTTTGCATTTTACCTAATCGTTTCTCTTTCTCTCTCTCTCTCTCTCTCTTCCTACTCTTTGATATATTCTTGGCAACAATTTATGTGCTTCGATAGTCGGAAGAGTTAGAAAATTCAATGAAAATTACCTCATCAAAATGATAAGATAGAAACTGTCGTGTAATTAGAAAAAAGCAAATATCTTTTTAACAAGATGATATTTTTTATGGATTATTAATTTGTTTTCTATATGATATTCCAAAAAATACATTTTAATATAATTTTTGAAAATTGTAATCTCATATATACGCGAGATATATCTTTTATTTTTCTTGTGTGTGTGTATACGTTAAGAGAACCGTACTAACAGAGAAAATAACTTTGATTACTTGCTAGCCAGTATAAAATTTTACACGTTCCGTCCGCTTTCTAAACCACTCTCCACTTTGTTGTGTTGTGAACGAGCGCATGCTTATTCACGTAACGCGGCGCACAGTGTGTGTCTTCCCGCGGTACAACAAAGCAGCTGCAACGAAGCTGTTACGACTTCACGAGGAGATAGAAAAATATAGATAAATAGAGGGAGAAAAAAAAATCGCAAATAAATTTATCGAAAAAAAAGCGAGCTTTTACCGTACTCCTTTTATTTTTATTTTTTTTTTGTTTCACTTTTAAAATCCTTACCATCAACATTTCAATTAGCGTTTCAATACTTTAACAATTTACGTTGCTCCCAATAAAATTTCATATTCAAAGAGAGAGAGAGAAAAAAAAAGCAACAAAAGAAGTTTAGATACTTGGATTTAATCTCACGATTATCGATATTATCTCCACGAGTTTCTATAAACTTTTTTAATTACGTTTAGAATATATCCTATTTTTCTTGTTATCGTTTAAGTCTAGTTCGTTGATCGAATTAATAAATGTTTTTCAAGTTTAGTAAAGCCAAGTCTGTTTTCCATTAAGACACCTTTAAAGAAGGGAATATCGAACGATCGAAAATAAGGAAGGAAGGAAGCAAGGAAAGGAAAGGAAAGGAAAGAAAAAAGATTCGTTGAAAGTTTAATGATCCACTTCGACTCATCGTGACTCTACGATCTTTTACTTTCAACTTTTATCCGAAACTTTTTTTTTTTTTTAATCCACCGTTACCGCAAGTCTCTCGGCGTCGAAAGATCTAATTCACCTGACTTTCACTCGACGTCTCCTCGTTATTTTTTTCTTTTCTTTGTTCTCCTCCGCAGACTGCCGTTATATCCGATCGTAATAAAAATAATACACGTACCCTATATATATATTAGGTCATGCCCGGCGAAAAATTCGTATTGACTTATGAATGTATATATTTAATATTAAAATTGATTAGAAATTTTTTGGTACAATCCCAATATGTATATATATACCGATTTATGAATATAAGAATATCAAAATTGATAAGAACTTATTTTGGCACGATCCTAATATATATCTCTACATATAACAATAAATATAAATTTATTCATATATTTTTTTACACAAAAATTTGCATTTTCCACCAAGAAAGTTTTTCCCCAGCCCCTTCTCCACCGTTTTTTCTTCTTATTCTTCTTTTCTTGTTTTTTTCATCGACTAACTTTATCCTTTCACCTTAGCCGTAAGAGATGGGTATCGTGAGAGAGGAACAGTTCGTGTTGATATGTCGTGTGCACTTTCCGTGAAATCGTAACGGCCTTTCCTCAGTCGGTCAATATTCAACGTGCAATATTATATAACGGTGAAACTCTACCGATTAAAACGCATTTATGGGGAGCGTAATGCGCGGGTGGTGATGGTGGTGGTTACTTTAGAAAATGCATCGAATCTCGAAACCTGTAAGGATACCAAATGCGTACGGAATCCTTCGACCTATAGAATTTCTCGATTATATAAATCTCAACAGATACGAAATTAGTTTAGTTTCA